ACAACAATTATTATTATAATTATTATTATAATAATAATAATATAATTAATAATTATCACCTTCCTTCTACTTGGTCATGAAGGAGGCCGGCCTTGGGTGAAAGAGCTGTGACGATCTCTGTCAGGAACCCGTATAGGTGCGGGACCGGGCCGTCCACCTCCTGGGGCTCGTGCGGCCCTGGCCAGGAGGCTGGGGTCGTTCTTGCCCTTGATGGGGTGGTTCTTCTCCGGCCCCGACCACGGTGGTCTCCGGGGTTGGAGTCCCTGTGACTTCTTTCTCCAACTTTGAGGTCAACTCCGGAGCTCACAGTTCCTGCGACGGCGCTGGAACTAATCCTATTGGGGTTTGCCTTTCCATTGGAGACTTTCGACGCCGTGGAGAGTGGGTACCTGCTGCATGGGTAACAGCTTTTCCGTATCAAGCTACCCGGGCTTTGCGCCCTAGAGAGGCCACTCCAGACTGGCAACCAGAGCGCAATTCCATAGTCTCCTGAGACTGATGGATGCCTACTATTACTATATGACTATTTGTTAACACTTAATTTAACTTACTAACAAGTAAGTTAACAAGTAAATTAAACTTGTTTAATTGAAATTAAAATTAAATTAAAATTCAAGCCTAATTGTTATTCACATTAAATATACACCTTATTATCACCAGTTACAGTTTACTGTTAATATAAATATAATACTTTATATACGGTGTATAATTTATTATTAATTAAACTATATTAAATATAAATATTTTTATCCAAGCATGAGTTTCAGTCACCCTACCCAAAAATAATTTATATGTAAACCTTGAAGTTAACTGAAATATTACCCAGTAACAACACAGCGTGCACAGCAACTGTTATCCATGATATTATAATATTACATATTAAACATAAGTAATGTTGGTAATACTTAACAACATAATTTTCAATATTAGATGATAAGAGGAGGCTGGATCCCGGGTCGTCAGCTTCCTGCCCTCATTGAGTAATGAGGTTAGCTTGCATGGGCTTCCCGCCAGGTACTAGCTCATCATAACAAGGGCACATCTTGCCCGGCTCTAACCAGTAGTTTCATACCACTCTTCCCCATACTGGACCACGTTGGTCTGACCTGACCTGAACCACCAGCGACTTCTATGGCTCATCAACAGGCCAAATCACAGGGCGAGCGGTATGAATCAGGCAGTATTTATCAATACAAGTGATTTCGATTCCTATAATATATATAATGTTGTACCTAGTAGCCAGAACGTCGTACTCAGCCTATTATGCCAGGCCCGATTTGCCTAATAAGCCAAGTTTTCCTGAATTTATATATTTTTCAATATTTTAATCATATGAAATGATAAAGCTATTTTTTAAATTTGAGTTAAAACTAACGTATATATATATGACCGAACCTAACCAACCCTACCTAACCTATCTTAACCTAACCTAAACTATCACAACTAAGTCAATAAATTATGGCCTTAATATAAAATAATAATAATTAAAATAAATTATTTGGAGAAAAATGATTGAAAATAAAGAAAATCACTCAGCCTATTAGGCAAATCGGACCTTGCATAGGCCTAAAAGTGGGTTCTGGCTACTAGGTACAATACACACACACACACATATATATATATATATATATATATATATATATATATATATATATATATATATATATATATATATATATATATATATATATATATATATATATATATATATATGAATGACAGTGTCAGACCACGGAGGAAAATTGAAACAGGAATTTCCTTAAGTACTTTCGTATATTAATACTCCTTCAGAAGGAGTGTTAATATTATTTTCTTATTTTCGTATATTAATACTTCGTATTAATATACTAAAGTACTTATCAATTTTCCTCCGTGGTCTGACACTCACATTTTTAATCACGTGTTTATTTTTCGTGATTTACACACACACACATTTTATTTATATATATATATATATATATATATATATATATATATATATATTATTAAATATGACCGAAAAAGTAAGATTAATAATTCTAACACGAATTTTCTCTCTTTCTTACGTTTCTTTTCACTGTTGAAGGTACTGTAATTCAAAGATCAATTCTCCAAAATTCATTTTTATTTCTAGTCTGACGCGATACGTCAGCGTCAGACTAGAAATAAAAATGAATTTTGGAGAATTGATCTTTGAATTACCATCAACAGTGAAAAGAAACGTAAGAAAGATAGAGAAAATTCGTGTTAGAATTATTAATCTTACTTTTTCGGTCATATTTAATAATATATGTCTACAGAAAAGACTGCTACCAAAATACACACACACACACATATATATATATATGGTTAAGTGGATGCTATATTGTAATGAAATGCTATATTGAAGCTTATATGGGGATCTAATTTGTACATACCAGGGCTTACATTAAGGCTGTTGTTACATTGTTTGATCAGAGTGGACTCAAATCACATTTCGTTCAATGAAACCCTTACTTTTAACAATACATTTTGCCCCTCTTAAGTCAATAGAATGATCACATAAACAGGAATGTAAATACAATGCACTGGAGTGCTGGGCTGTACAAAAAGCATATGAATGTTTTAAATGTGAAGAAAGAGATTTACCAGTCTGGCCAATGTAAACACGTGCACACTCATTACAAGGGATGGAGTACACACAACCTGCTACAGACGAGGACGAGTTCTTAATTAACGTGGACTTTACTGTATTATTATTTTTTAGCACTGGGTTAATGTTAAGGTTTTTCAGGGCTGGAGCAAGATTTACTAGTCCATCAAAATATGGTAATACCAACGAGCTTTTAATTTCTGGCTTAGACTTGGGAGCTTGTTTGTAGAACATCTTTTTGCTTGACTAAACGCGAAATCCAAGACCGATTTTGGGTATTTTAACTTCCTTCCAATTTCAAACTTTTTTCTTATTTCATCAAAAAATTCTGGGTTGTAAACTCTCAGGGCTCTGAGAAACATTCCAGAAAATACTGCCCACTTAACCTGAACATGATGATTTGAGTGAAAATGAATATACAAGAACACATTGGTAGGTTTCCTATATACATTGAATTTGAAACTCCTACCGATTCTATGAATCATGATGTCTAAAAACGGCAGAACACCATTCTCTTCATTCTCAACTGTGAATTTAATTGACGGAACCAGTGAATTAAGCTGAATGGGAAAATCAGATTGGTCATGGTTAACCGGTCACAGGCACAAAATATCGTCAACATACCTATACCACACTAAATTCGAGGATAAAATCTTGGGTAAGATATTCGTTTCAAAACACTCCATGTTCAAATTGGTCAGAACAGGGGAGAGGGGATTACCCATCGCCATGCTAAATGTTTATAAAATAAATCGTTAAAACTGAAATATTTTAATTTAAGGGAGAGGAGTTAGGACTCACCCTAAATCCATCAAAGTGTGAAATCATCTCATCTAGCCAACCAATCATAGATAGAGTACGAACCATGTTGCCAGCAGCCCCAGTGATCGCTCCCACCAACAGTGTGCTGCTAGGGGGCACCTCTGGGTTCAAGCTCCATTGAGGTAATCCTTGAAGAAAAGATGAACAATCTGAGGAGGATGGAGAGAAGAATAGGGGCTTTGGATGCCCACAATGCTTTGTACCTTCTCACACGGTGCCTGGCTTTGCTCAGGCTGACCTATTTCCTAAGGTATGTTCCCTCCTTCGACAGTCCAAAATTAACAGAATATGATGCACTCCTAAAATCAATAACCATGAAAGTGTTAAACCTCTCCCTGCAAGATGACCAATGGGACCAAGCAACACTCCCAGTTAGACTCGGGGGTATAAGTATTCGCAAGGTGACACAGTTAGCATTACTGACATTCTTATCCTCGACCAATGCTACCGGAGAATTAGTGAATGAAATACTACCAGAATACCTAAGAGACTCCATTGGGATTCATGATTCCCCAATTCGCGGACGGAGCCGACCAGTGGGACACTCTTGCCAACTCTCACCCTCGACCAACTTTTCCAAACAACTGCAAACAGGCCAAATGGGATAGCCCCATTGTGAAGAACATTGCCACAGCATTGCTGGAGGCAGCTTCTGAGAAGGACAAAGCACATACGGCAGCCATGGTCTCATCTGTCGTAGGTCACTGGGAAAGATTGCCATACATGAAGCAATCAATGACATCATCAAGAGAAGTTTGGCTACAGCTGGGTGTCTAACACAAAGGGAACCTCAGTTGTGCAGACCTGACAACAGTCACAAATGACCAGATGGGGTTACCCTGCAGCCATGGAAGGATGGTAAACAGGTCGTGAGGGACTACACGTGTGCGTCTCCATTGGCTGATACCTATCTATCTCGTAGTACAGCTAAGGGAGGCAGAGCAGCCACCTTCAGGGAGACCCAGAAAACTAACAAGTACAGGGATCTAGAATGTTGTTACAGGTTCACGCCAATAGGCTCTGAAACCCTGGATGCCTGGGGTAAATCTGCACTTAAGTTCCTAAAAGAAGTGGGGTGAGGAACTCATTAGGAAAACTAAAGACTCAAGAGCGACCAGTTTCCTGTTCCAGCGCCTCAGTGTCACAGTCCAGAGGGAAAATGCGTGCTGTATCTTGGGCACGCACGCACCCAACCTCCAAGGAGCTGGATGAGGAGCTTCGAACAGTGATTGTTGTACGTATGTGTGTTTTCTGTAAACTGTAGCAATGTGAAATAAAATTAAGAAAAAACAAAATAAAAAGATAGGGGTGGTAGAAGTAGAAAATATTAAAGTGTTCAGTGATTTATATATGTTATGTACATTTTCACAACCTCATATAAAAATACTGCAAAACAGTCTCCATACAAACAGCACAAAGACTGCAGTTCAGTACACAAACAGTACCAGTGAATAGAACTTTTTCCAAGTTATATGAATTAATTAAAAATTACTGTTTTCCACACATCACTGGCAAAAGTTACTTGTTGAACACAACCTAACTTAGGAAGGAATAGAACAAAATCATATTATTTCAGTCATTGTATTTTTACAAAACTGAACTACGGTACAGTACAGTATATACATTGAATCCTTATACATCTTCGTTTATATTTGATCAACAAGTTTGAATGTCTGTTTTGGTGACTCAGCCAAAATATGAAAATAGGTTTTGTAAATAGGCACATCTTGATTTTGAAGATCAGGATAGAATCGTTTTATAAAACTGTGATCCCAGTTCGGATTCATCTTCTCTGTTGTCATCACAACTTTCCCATGTTCTCTAGCAAAGAGAGTTTTATCTGATCCAATTCCAACCTGAAATTATACAAAAACTACAATAAACAAAAACAATGAAATATTTCATTCTAAAAACAAGAAATAATAAATATATGTTATAGTTTATGCATAATCACCAAAAAAAATTGCATCTCATTGTACTGTAATGCTTTTCTTTTAGCTAGTCTGGCAGATGGCAGATGCGTGTGGAACTAAAGCCAACATGATCCACCCAGCACTCGCATCACTAGCCAGGCTCTCATTGAACTTGTCTCCCACCGTGGAACGGAGCATTCCACGTGGTGTTGACTCTGCCAGTCTGATAACCCATTAGTTGTTAGCTTACTTAACTGTTTGAATTCTTGCATGTTCAGTGCATCCACGATTACTAAACCCACAAGAATTACTCAAATTACTAATTGCACCCGAAATCATCTCAAGATGACCATATTTGGACAAACATAACCGCTCTGCTAACCTTGGGAATAATCACTGATGTGAAGACAGTCATTATCCTACATTTCTTCTAACTAGCATTAGCTTCAGACTTCCCAATGCAGCCAAAATAAATAAATAAATAAATAAATAAATAAATAAGTAAATAAATAAATATATACTGTATATATATATATGTCGTACTAGTAGCCAGAACGCACTTCTCAGCCTACTATGCAAGGCCCGATTTGCCTAATAAGCCAAGTTTTCATGAATTAATTGTTTTTCGACTACCTAACCTACCTAACCTAACCTAACTTTTTCGGCTACCTAACCTATAAAGATAGGTTAGGTTAGGTTAGGTAGGGTTGGTTAGGTTCGGTCATATATCTACGTTAATTTTAACTCCAATAAAAAAAAATTGACCTCATATATAATGAAATTGATAGCTTTATCATTTCATAAGAAAAAAATTAGAGAAAATATATCAATTCAGGAAAACTTGGCTTATTAGGCAAATCGCACCTTGCATAGTAGGCCAAAAAGTGCGTTCTGGCTACTAGGTACGACACACACACACACACACACACACACACACACACACAATATATATATATATATATATATATATATATATATATAGAGGGGGGTACCACCTCTGGTGCAATTATAGGGACGCACAGCCTCAGAGAAGGGAACACAGAGCATTCAGATAAAAACTTGCCATTTAACTCTGAATACGGAAGTGTTCGCTTCTCCTACCACCCCCCCTTTTTTATGGTGTACACTTTATTATGCAAGGTTATACAGTTACATATCTGATTTTATACAAAAAATGAACATTAAGAGGACACAAGAAAAAGTTCGCTTCCTAGAGGCTGTAGATTTCCTCAAACTCCTCCGACGCCAGGCAGGAACTGAGGATGCAGCGGGCGTTTCCCCTCTGGATCGCGACACTGAGGCGCTGAAAGAGAAAACTTGCCGCTCTAGGGTATCTTGTGGTGTCAATGAGCTTGGAACCAAGATCCTTAAGAAACCTTCTTGCACTCTCTCCCCATGGGCCTAGGGTCTCAGACCCTATTGGAACGAAGCTGTACCGATGATCTAATTGCCTGTACTTGACTGATTTGTGTCTTTCTCTGTGTGTCGCCGCGGCTCCTGCTGTGCCGGCAGAGAGGTTGATGTATGCGGTTGCCAGGGTGGATACGCAAGTATAGTCCCATGCCAACTGTCTTGCCACCCTTCCACGGACGCAGTGTAATTCCGTTTGGTCGGCCGGCAAAGCTAACAGAGTAGCAAAGCATTGGCAAAGAATTATTGACCAGTTGCACTAACGTCCCACATAATAAAAGTATTTGAGAGAGTGATCAGGAGTCAGGTCACTAGATTCATGGAAACCAATGACCTCCACAATCCAGGCCAACATGGATTTAGAGCAGGAAGATCATGCCTCTCACAGCTACTTGACCACTGTGACAAAATCACTGAAGCATTAGAGGAAAAACATAATGCAGATGTCGTATACACAGATTTTGCAAAGGCATTCGACAAATGTGACCATGCAGTGATTGCACACAAAATGAGGTCAATGGGTATAACTGGTAAAGTAGGACGCTGAATACTCAATTTCCTGTTGAACAGAACACAAAGAGTAACAGCCAATCAAGTAAAATTGAGTCATAGTGCAGTTAAAAGCTCTGTACCTCAAGGTACAGTCCTTGCACCACTGCTGTTCCTTATTCTCATATCAGATACAGGTATAGACAAAAACACAAGTCACAGCTTCGTGTCATCCTTTGCAGATGATACAAAAATCAGCATGAAAATTACCTCTGCTGAAGACATTGATAAACTACAAACAGATATTATCAAAGTTTTCGATTGGGCAGCAGAAAATAACATGATGTTTAACAGTGATAAATTCCAGGTACTCAGATACGGCAAAAATGAGGATCTTAAACATAATACAGGGTACAAAACACAATCGAATCTGCCCATATTAGGAAAACAGCATGTCAAGGATTTGGGAATAATGATGTCCGACGATCTAACGTTTAGGGAGCATAACCAAGCAAATATCGCGTCAGCCAGAAAAATGACTGGATGGATTACGAGAACTTTCAATTCCAGGGATCCCATCACAATGGTTGTACTCTTCAAATCACTTGTGTTGTCCCATCTTGAGTACTGCTCAGTACTCACTTCCCCCTTCAGAGCAGGAGAGATTGCTGAATTTGAGGGAATACAGAGAACATATACAGCACGCATAGACGAGATAAAGCACCTAAATTATTGGGATCGTCTCAAAGCTCTCCAAATGTACTCACTAGAAAGGAGACGAGAGAGATACCAAATAATATACACATGGAAAATACTGGAGGGACAGGTCCCAAATCTGCACAGTAAAATAACAACGTACTGGAGTGAATGACATGGAAGAAAATGCAGAATAGAACCAGTGAAGAGCAGAGGTGCCATGGGCACAATCAGAGAACACTGTATGAACATCAGAGGTCCACGGTTGTTCAACGTCCTACCAGTGAGCATCAGAAATATTACAAGAACAACCATGGACATCTTCAAGAGGAAACTAGATTGTTTCCTTCAAGGAGTGCCGGACCAACCGGGCTGTGGTGGGTATGTGGGCCTGCGGGCCGCTCCAAGCAACAGCCTGGTGGACCAAACTCTCACAAGTCAAGTCTGGCCTCTGGCTGGGCTTTGGTTCAGTGTGTGTGTGTGTTTTAGTGTGTGTGTGTGTTTTAGTGTGTGTGTGTGTGTGTGTTTTTGTGTGTGTGTGTGTTTTTGTGTGTGTGTGTGTGTGTGTGTGTGTTTTTGTGTGTGTGTTTTTTTGTGTGTGTGTTTTTTTGTGTGTGTGTGTTTTTTTGTGTGTGTGTGTTTTTTGTGTGTTTTTTGTGTGTGTGTGTGTTTTTTGTGTGTGTTTTTGTGTGTGTGTGTTTTTGTGTGTGTGTGTGTGTGTGTGTGTGTGTGTGTGTGTGTGTGTGTGTGTGTGTGTGTGTGTGTGTGTGTGTGTTTTTGTGTGTGTGTGTTTTTGTGTGTGTGTGTTTTTGTGTGTAATTACCTAAGTGTAATTACCTAAGTGTAGTTACAGGATGAGAGCTACGCTCGTGGTGTCCCGTCTTCCCAGCACTCTTTGTCATATAACGCTTTGAAACTACTGACGTTGTTGTGTGTGTGTTTTTGTGTGTGTGTTTTGTGTGTGTGTGTGGAAGGGGGGGCTACAATGGAACCAATAAGGAAATTGTTGGCACTGTTGGCAACACAAACTGGAAGATTGAACTCTGAAGTATGGCAAATATCAATGAAGGTGTGCAAACATTTCTTTACAAAACTCTAAGCCTCTACAATACTCACTATCCTATGCTAACCAAACAACTCATAATGAAAAGGATAAACAATCCATAACTTACTAAAGGTATTCTTAAACCAAAACAAACATGAATATATGGGGAAATACAGGATAGTTTTTTCCAAAGTGTCGTCAAGGAGGTCCTCTTCAATGCATATCTAAGATCATAAAAAGAACCGAAACAATTCACTATACAGTACTATGAAAATAAATGTAAACAAATAAGATGTCACAAGAAAATATTGCATTCTTATATTCATGCAATTTTTTCAAATTTACATTTCTAGTTCTCAGTTTTTGATAAACCAGTTCCATTTCTTATTTGGTGTGAAAATTTTAGTGCCATCCTTACAGTGTGTTTATGTATGTATGTATGTATGTATGTATGTATGTATGTATGTATGTATGTATGTATATAAAGCAGAACTTCACATACAAATATTTACACTCTTTGTGGAATGAAAAGACTCCCCATAAAAGTAAATAAAAAAATTCACTCATATCTCCAAAATGTCCTGCTTTTGAGGTAAACTTTATTGATTGCTTTTGTTTCTCCAGTGTACAGTATCATCCTGAAACACTTTTCCTAATAGAGAAAGATACTGTAAATAACAGCTTTTCCTCCTCTTTCCTGGCAAAGAAGAGATCCATAAAGATAGCTCTCAGCCTTTACCCTTGTGGCCAGCTGAATGTGCTGGTGCTTAAATGCCTTCAAAATAAGATTCACAAATTATACAGCCATCCGTAAGCTCTTGCCTTACAGGCCTCCTGATCAATAGATTAGAGATGAAAGTACCTCCACATGGACCTTTCTTGCACCACCATACATAAGTCTATAAAAGTTCATACTAATACTAAAAGCAGTTCTCCAGGTATCACATATGCACCAAAAATGTAGGAATACTAAATAATTTTGACAAAATCCTTGGGTACGGTGTCCCAGCAGACTAATGGGGATATCTAATCAATAGACTAAATAGTTAAAAATGTCACAAATTATTGCACCATAACTGTGCATAAACCTGACAATGTTGATCTCCAACAATATAATCAGACCTGAAAGATGAAGATTATGTTAAATCTTACATTTAGACCAGGATGAAAAAGAAGTCCAAGCTGTCTGACGAGTATTGTTCCTTTTGTGACCCATGTACCATCCCTCTTCTTGATGCCACGGTGTTTGCCTCTTGGTCGACCTGGTTTATTTCTACTGCTACCACTTGCCTTCTTGCTAGCATTACGTACGGTAGTCATCCATCCAATTGTACTATCTGAAAAAAAAACAGCGTTGAATGCAATGAAATGCCAATTTTTGGGCAAGTCCCAGAGACTCCCCCGAAGCTATCATACACTGATCAGTGCCATACTACTAGGTGCCATCAGTCGTGGAGTTCTATTGGCTTAATGGAGAGCAATGAGCCACCGGGTCCCCCTCAGAGAGGCGCAAGGAGCGATGGCCTATGAACACTTTACATTTAAAGTTAATCATAATTGCCACCACCACAGAAGCACCCAGAAAGTTAGGTGAAACAAAACAGAATACTGCATAGTTAAAACCTAAGACTGCAGCCTCAAAGATTCCCAAAAGAACTCCCCAACAATTAAAACAAACCACCAAAATCAGGCTGCGATTAGATGCATCTAACAGCCTGGTTGACCAGACCACCAACACGGCCTCGTCAGAGACCAGGCTGCGGGGACGTTGATCCTCTGACCCAACACAAGGTTATCACAAGGTAACCACTCAGCTGTTTCCAAGGCAAGGACCAGGCAGCAGGGCAAAGAAGTAAAGGCCTAGGGCAAAGCCATGGTGCCTCAATACACCACCAGGACTCGTCAGCACGAGAGTTAATACCTAGAGCAGGTGTCTGCATCATGTAGGTGTCACCTACACACAAGCAACATAGAAACACCACAAGAAAGATTTGCTGTTAGGAAATGAAGTAAATGAGATGTGTGTCAAGTTTTGTGAAATATTGTATACTGTATGCTAAAGGCACAAAATTTGTTATACCAAAGTAGAGATGCAGAACTAGGAAACAGGATTGGTTCGACAGAAATTGCTAAAGGGCCAGAGACCAAAAGACACAAAAATGGAATCAATATAAGAAGAGGACAAACCCCCAAACATACCAACGATACAAAGATGCGAGAAACAACTACATGGCAGTGAAGAGAGAGGCAGAAAGAAATTTTGAAAAAGGGATAGTGGACAGATCCAGGCCTTTTCTATAAATTCATTAATAGCAAGCTGCAGGTAAAAGATAATATTCAGAGGTTACAAATGGGAGACAGATTCATGGAAAATGAAAAGGAAATGTGTGAAACATTAAAAGAAAAGTTCCAGTGTATTTGTACAAAATGAAAGCTTCAGGGAACCAGACACAATAAGAATTCCAGAGAACAACATAGAGCACATAGACATGTCTAGAGATGAAGTGAAAAAATGCTCAAGGAGATAAGAAAGAACAAAGCAGTTGGCCCAGATGGAGTTTCACCATGGGTTCTGAGAGACTGTGCACCTGAGCTCAGCATTCCACTTCAATTGATTTTTCAGGCATTCTTGTGTACAGGAGTCGTAGCAGATGTGTGGAAAAAGGCTAACATAGTTCCAATCTACATAAGTGGCAGCAGGGAAGACCCCCCTCAATTTTAGATCTGTATCATTGACAAGTGTAATAGTCAAAATATTGGAAAAAATAATTAAAGTAAATGGGTAGAACACCTGGAGAAAAATGATATAATATTAGACAGACAGTAGGGTTTTCACTCTGGAAGATCCTGTGTGATGAATTTACTCAATTTCTATGATCGAGCCACAAAGATTTTACAGGAAAGAGATGGTTGGGTTGACTGCATCTATCTGGAACTAAAAAAGGCTTTTGATAAGAGAAAACAAAAAGGCTTTTGGTCAAGAACAAAAGCAAACCCCCATCTAAAGCCAGGAACAATAACACCAGGTTAGCAAGGCAAGGATATGTAAGAGTGCCACAGCTCTCCAGAGTACCCAGAACCAAGAAAACACTGAGGCTACCAAGAGATGGGTGAAGGCCCACAACTACAACCACAAGGGTAGAGTTCAAAACCTAGTGCCACCAGAGCATAGGCCCACTGCAGTTCCCATAGAGGGGATCCTGAGTGGCCTAGAACTGTAGCCACTGAGATTAAAAAAATGTATCATCTGTAGATTTGCTGCAGAACAATCAAACACTGAATGTAAAACACCCTTTTCTGAGCTGCCTCAGTAAATCCCTAATGTACTGGCTCTGGTACTGCAAAAACATTCTCAACACAATAAAGCTGCTGGATATGCACAGGCCTACTAAACACAACGACCAGAATCTGATGTGCTCATAGAGCCGAGGTGAGCATGGAAATCTGAGATTAACCCAAACCTAAGTAAAACTGTGCAGTAATTTTAAAGAGAGAAAAGAAACCAGGGAAGCAGATGCATGTTAGCACAACACCAGGTGGCAGCTCAGGTCACCCAGGGTCCGGCCAGTTGGTCTGCCTGCCAGCCTCCTTAGTTGCTTCCCTAGCACCAAATATATTACTACTTCTCTGTAAGACAAGTCAAGGCAAACTAACTGAACAGGATCTATGACATGAGAAAAATATAGGGCCTTCTATATCATTGCTGCTATTACTGACTAAAAACTAAAAACTAAAATTAGCCTAACTTAACCAAAATGAACTGAATGAAGATAGTGTTGTGTTTATATGTAGTGTGCATGAGGTGTGTGATGTTACTAGGATGTCAAAATTTCAATGCTAGTACAGATTTTGTATCCTGAACTAATCAGCTAAGGGCATGCAAGTTAATATGTTCCCAACAATTGTTTACTTGGTTTATCACCATTTGGTTTAGCCAGTAACTACTCACCTATTACTCACCTAGTATCTGCATTGTAACTGGATGGGTGACAGTGCAGAAAGCTTGGCCCTTGCCTAGGGGAATCTTGATAGGCTGACAGGACTTCCTATCTATATTTATCTGTACAGTATTTTCCTGACGACTAAAACTCTACTGGCCTTGATGAGGACTGGAAGCTGGCAGCTTGTCAAAAGTCCCCCAATTTTCCCCGATGATTTTTCAAGCTGGATTTTAAAGTTCAACAGAGTTTTGGCATTTACGGCTTTGGTGGGTAGGCATTTCTATGGATTTATAACTCTGCGGGTGAAAAAGCATATCCTGTTCTCAGTCCTACATTGTGGCTTGTTAAATTTGAAACCTTTACTCCTTCTTTGTGTTACATCTGACCTTAAGAAGAAGTTGTCTGGATCAACATCCTACACATGTTTTGTACTTTGAACATTTCAATGAGATCCGCTCTGTCATGCCTTGTTTGCACTGTTAGCCCTGTGGCCCTCAACCATTCCTGATATGAGAGCTGACTGATCCTGAGGAGGATAAGGTCACCTAGAGGGAACCATATAAACCTAACATGTTTATATACACTGGCTGCCTGTCCCCCAACCCAATATGAATTATGGAGGCGCTTACGGTCGCATACGCCAGGCGGGCTTAGGAAGCACTTCAGTCCTACACATGACGGCATCATATACGTACATGCAGGCTGTACACAAGTTACGGCCCCGCTCCTGTGCCGGGTAAGTCCACTACGGGCTCACAATAACCCGTGCTACTTGCAACTTTTTGTTCAGAGTAGCTGAATCTTAAACAACAACAACTTACTGGAGAGGAGAGAGGAGCCACCGGTTATGGAAGAGCCGCCGGCTGTACTGGAAATGCTCAAATTGAACAAACTCTTGAGCCAACTGGCGGACATGTTTATGTTGTTGATGGGATTAGGGGCAGCTACAGCACACAGCGAGTATGATGTAAGCCCCGGGTCCGGATTCATTAAGCAATTACCAGAGAAATTACGAAACTTTTAGTTCTATTTGTTATATTTTTTTATTGACAAACTTAGGTATACACAGCAATGTGCTGCTATCCTATTCTGTATGAAAGCGGCGATCTTCCCAAGAGTGCACCTTGTAATCTTTCATATAGAATAGGGTAAAAGCACATTGCTGTCTATATCTAAGCTTGTTAATAAAACAGAGCAAAATCCTTAATTTACCTGAGGGCTACTAACACTCTAGTGGTCTCAACGAGAACAGGAAGCCAGCGGCTTGTCAAAGGTCCCCTCATTTGTGTCGATGATTTTTCAAGCAGGATTTTAAAGTTCAGCAGAGTTCTGTCATTTACGACTTCGGCGAGTATGTATTTTCATGAATTTGTAACCCTGTGGGTGAAAAAGCATGTTTGTTTTCAGTCCAATACTGTGGCTTGTTGAGGTTAAAACCGATGTTCCGTGTCTGTCATATCACACTATAGTTTTAATAAAATTTAGTTATTATAAGCATTGTAATAATTACTATTATGTTCATCTTTTCTGCCATTATTATACTTATGTACACTAGACGAGCCAATATTATATTTAGATCAGTAACCGAATATTTGCGAAAACGTTTTCTTTGGTGAATCCCACATGGGTTTATTCCGCAGCCTCACAGCGGCGGGAACTATTTATTTATTTATTTATTTATAAATATATATACAAGAAGGTACATTGGGTTTATGAGAGCATATAGCATTGATGTTTTACTTTCTTATAAAGCTACTAACACGCATAGCGTTTCGGGCAGGTCCTTAATCTAATTAAGGATCAGTTTGATAGTCCACTTATGGATGTCAACCAACAAACTAACACTTATCATAGAAAAGACCTACTACATCTTATTTGGAAGCAAATCTACAAATGCAATTCAGCTTCAGATAGACAATGTATACATTAGCAATAAAAATGATGGAAAGTTTCTTGGCCTATTCCTAGACAAGAGACTCAACTTCAGTACCCACATACAACACATAACTAAGAAAGTCTCTAAAACAGTTGGTATACTCTCCAAAATCAGATATTATGTACCTAACTTTGCTCTCATCTCTCTATATTATGCACTAATCTATCCCTATCTTAATTATGGTATCTGTGCATGGGGTTCAACCACTGAAAACCACCTCAAGTCCATCATCACCCAGCAAAAATCTGCTATCAGAATAATAACAAATTCTGCTTTCAGACAACACACAGCCCCCTTGTTTAACTCCCTAAACATGCTAAACATAATCTCACTCCACAAATTCTCTTGTGTCAACTACATTTACAAAACCCTGTTCTTAAATGCAAATCCTGCTCTGAAACTCTCCCTGGACAGATGTAATAGGACCCATTATCACCACACCAGAAATAGATTTTCTGATCAGGGAGGAAAAAGACACCAACAGCATGGGGGCCTATTTATTTATTAGTAGAACAAGTAAATATTTTCTGCAGACCCTGTTAATGAAGCGGCTATAACTTGTATATTTTACAACTGTGTAACATGGACATGTATAACTTTGAGTACTATAACTGCAACTTAATAACATTAATACATATGCTTATAGCCGGGAACTAACTAAATCAAGATCTGCAGAACACCGAGTACTTATTATCTATGAGTAAAGTAAGGCAAATGTCTAACATATTTTTCCTTGAGAATCAGGGCATTTAGAGTAGCATATATTGGCCTAACACGTGACAGATAATAATGCCCCATTCCAATACATAACGTAAATTCGTAAATTAACCAGTAAATGCAGAATACACATAAAGGGCAAGGTTAACATTACTCCTACAAGTCAGGGTAAGTAGCTGCGGACAGCGGAACACTTAGGGGCCGGCGCTGCACCAGCCTTTTAGACCATCAGCAAAGGGCGCTAGACATAGTACTGTTTCATAGTTTTAGCTGACTGCACCCAGGAAGGGGAGGAGGGTGGGTCTTTTTTAACTTCCGAAGCGGTGCGTATCAGGAGCAGGAGAGAGCGCATGACCGATTGATTGATGAAGATTAAGCCACCCAAAAGGTGGCACGGGCATGAATAACCCGTAAGTGGTAACTCTTTTGAGCCATTACCAGTATCATTAGCTGATACTGGAGATCTGTGGAGGTGCAACTGCACCCTGCGTGACGAGAGGTCTCCCGTGGGCATGCATAACCTCTCCTCCCCCCTTTATATAAGCCCCCGTTGCGCTGCGCACACTGAGCCCGCGGAACGGGACTAGCTAAGTGTTTGCAGGCCAAGAGCTCTCTCTTCCATGGTTCATCTTAAACTTTACTCTACTTATTTTTCCAAAAGTGATCTGCTAATCGACTTAAAACAAGGTTTCCAAATACTGTTGGGTCTTTTTTGCATATATTGTAGGACGAGTGTAATAGCACGATAACCACTACATCACATGATGCTGTAAAATATTTAGAGATGACAGATAAATGATGCTGAATATATTCTGTAAAATTTCTCTTTTGACGACAAAGTGAATTTTGTTAGCATGCAATTTGTTTTCTAGGTTTTGGTGAATTAGTGACATACACGTTTTACAGTCATTTTACTAATTGTAGAGAGGGTATCTACATGTTAATGGCTCACTGGAGACCTATCCTGCTCTTATGATTTAAGCCCTTTTCTTTGGCTATATTCAGAAAAGTAGCTTAAACGGAAGTTGAAAATATTTCTGCTTTACTAATGAGAATCGAACTCTGGACAAGGCCAGTGTGGTAACCATTCCATGGATGAGTTGGATTAGTCATCCAGGAATTAGTATAGGAACGATCCTCCTTGAGTTGTTGTGTAAACATCCAGGGGTTAGTAGGAGTGGTCCTTCCAGGAGTCGTGTAAACATCCAGGGGCTAGTAGGAGTGGTCCTTCCAGGAGTCGTGTAAACATCCAGGGGATAGTAGGAGTGGTCCTTCCAGGAGTCGTATAAACATCCAGGGGATAGTAGGAGTGGTCCTTCCAGGAGTCGTGTAAACATCCAGGGGTTAGTAGGAGTGGTCCTTCCAGGAGTCGTAAGTGTCGAGGTCTGGAGAGTTGTAGGTGTAGCGGTTAAAGATGCCGAACTCTTCGTCATCGTTAGCCAGGAGAATATGACCCCCATACCGCTGGTGATGCAAGCTGCCGGAAAAGTTACATTAGGTTAACATACATAACATTGTGTTGCAACATGAACAATAAAGTACGAACCATGAGGTTCAATATGTAAAAGAATCTAAAATGTATTGTGGCAGCATTCATGACCGGTCGTTTAAATCCTGTGTGATATATTCTAGCCTAGTTAAGCCGCCCATGTGTGCAGAGAAGCCTCATCATGAAAAATCTGTGTTACAATTAAGATACAAATTTATTAAACAGTGGCATTTCATCACTATATTATAATTCAATGTGGACAAATTCTTTACCTTGTTATACCTAGAAATTATGTATTAACAAAATGTTTATTTCCTAATTCAAATAGCGCAACAAAGACTTTCATAACTATTCAAGGAGGCTTCCTGACGGGAAGTGTATCTGGTGTGCACTGTGATTCATTTTGTTTATACTGTATTTGTAAACCAAGAAATATGGTACATTAAGTTTTGCCCTGGAACAATAATTGAATCGTTAAGAATAACCTCAAATAGTGTAAATGTAGTTTAATTAAGGAGTAATATTGCAGATAAATTATTTACAAAGATCAATTATCCTTAAAAATAATAATAGTTCTCTGTTCTTAATAGATATTATAAATCTTTATAATAAACGTTTTCCTTAACCTAGCAAATAACCAAAAAGGACGACAGTTTATGGTTCTCAAAGGACACACCTCGAGACATAATAAACACAACAAATTACTGCTAAAATATATATAGACTAGGCCTAGGCAGCCAAAAACTCACGAAGGGATAAAGGCACGAGAAGAGTGCAAGTCGACAACACAATGTTCTCCCATCCCAAATTAGGATCATTGAGGCATTAGCAGTTGAACTTCTGCGCTCTTTGCACTCGCCTTATTGTACCATAATAATCTACAAGATCAAAGTTTGATTCTGGGAGATCCATCATTACACCCGGAGTGAAGCACTTGACATTCTCGGCGGGACGTGTCGACATCTTGGAAAACGACAATGGTGCTACATTCATTGGCTCTAGTGAAGAGGCTCTTCGAAAAGTGATTAACACAACATTAAATTAACTGTTCAGAGAGTAAGTAGTTACCTGATCTTCCTGTACCAGACACCAATGATGGTAGCTGTAATGGCGAGGGTGATGATAGCGAGGGACACCAGGCCGACCTTGGTGTGCGTGGACACGTCCCACCTGGATGTGGGTTCCGCCATCCTAGGGGGAAAGACTGTATTTAGTCTAGTTTTTTCAGTGGTATGAGTAAAATCCGGAATGTGTTTTTAAATAAATTGATTAATTATAGTTTAACATTACATAACGTTATGTAACGTTGATGCAATTGGTTATCCAAATGATTTCCATAATTAAATAATTAATCATATAGTAGAGATAACGTTGAAACAAATAGTTGTCCAAATGATTCACATAATTATTTAATTATTGAATTTAACATTACAAAGATAAGTAGTAGGAAACATAAATCGTATGGTGAAACATAACGTTGAATAACTGGAGGATAAATGTAAATGAGAACCAACTTCGTGAATGAGTTTAGGCTTGAAGAATAAAAAAGAAGTTGCCAATTAGTTGTCCAAAAGGAGGCGCAGTGGAATAGTAAGGTATAGGAGAATAACGGAAGGGCTTTTCAATGATCATGATTCCAACGGACCTCCCAAACAACAACGGAAGGGCGGTTTGCCTTGCAGCCTGGGTGGAGGCTGCACCATAGATCTACATAGTAGTTTAAGTAGCGAACGAATACTAGCAAATAGCATCAGCATTGTAAGAGAGAGACCCTTGTGTAGGGAGAAATAGCAGTGCTATTGAGAGACCCCTTGTATATGGAGAAATAGCAGTGTATTATGTAAGAGAGAGACCCTTGTGTAGGGAAAAATCGCAGTACTATTGAAAGAGACCATTGTGTAAGAAGAAATAGCAGTGTTAAATGTTGAAAAAACAGTCTGGAACTCTGACCCCTTTCAGATGCACAGATCATCATCTCAACAGGAAAATGTAATCTCCTAAATAAAAAAATGTAAACAAAATGGATAAAATGGTTAAGAAAAAGCAGATTCAATGCAAGAAAATATAGCTAAACATCAGTGTTAAATGTAGAAAAACAGCCTGGAACATTATAAGACATATAAATGAAGTATTGGGAAATGTGTGACATGTATAGGGAGGGGACATTATTGGAACCAGGCAGGCAGGGACATGTGCAAGCCCCTATCAGTCACTTGGGAGAGGGAGGCAATGACAACCACACCAGTCTTGTGGATAGTCTCCAACAAATACGGTAAGTGCAGTATTATAGATGTTTATAGCGGTGCTTCCCCTTTTCTTTATGAGTTAGGGATAGGAATTTGTGGAAATAATGATTTTTGGAACCCTGTGTGTAGGGAGAGTGGTGTGTTGTTTATTCAGGTGTATGTGGTCAGCTGTGTGTCACATGGGGAGATTATCCACATTTATTTTGTATATTCATTTGTAAACCCAGGCCCTTTGTAGTGACCTATGAGGAGTGGAATAGAGTAATGACCTTAAGTCCCAGGCTGTAGAGGAAGAAGGACCCTTCCCCCTCCCTTTTTTGTCTGTATCAATCCTGTGGTGGAACCTAGTACACGCCCCCCCCCTGTTCTAAGAAGTGTGAGGAAATCTGGTATTTGTTAAATAAAATCCTTTTTTGTGAAATTGTACCCAAAGGTGTATTTCTTGTCCCATGTAGTTAGAACTGGTGACTATTACTATATAGACCCCTGCACTACCATTATTTATTAAAAAGTAAGAGTGGGTGTTGTTAGCGATGCTTTAGGGTACAACTTTTAATCTTGTACCTTACAGCATCTACATAACAAAACCATTTACTATGGAGTTTATTTCACTTCCAGACACATTTTTAAATAAATCTTAAATGTTTTATGGCTATTTATGCTAAAATATTATTGTGAATATGCATTCTTCTAGTTAATATCATTAATTCAATTTGCGACAATTTGAGCAGAGAAGTGGGACGTGTGTACAGGAGGCTGATATGCCACCAAACTCTCTCCAGGCAACTTTTTCTTTTTTTCTTTGACAAGCTTAGGTATAGACAGCAATGTGCTGCTACCCTATTCTATATGAAAGATTACACAGTGTAGATTAAGAAACTAGCTATAAGTTCATCTAATATTCCCATCTCACAGGATGGTTAGCCATATATGGAATCAGGGATAAAATACCTGTCTCAATACTAAAACAAACCAACTGGTTCCAATCAACAATGTGTCTTGGATAAGTCGCTCCACAAAATTGTCGCTTAGATCGACGACTTTCTTTGGCGTCACCTGTTACTTAGTTTCGTTTAATTTCTAATTTCAAACTACTTGCTGCTAGGTGAACCTACTTACTGGTGAGTGAACCTACATAATGCTAGTAAATACCTACTAATTACTGCTAGTAAATACCTACTAATTACTGTTAGTAAATGCTATATATTGTGCAAGGAGAACGTAGCCACTATACATTGTGCAAGGAGAAAGTAGCCACTATACTACCCACCCCCCGTTTATCATTTATTTAAACATATCATGACTTTGGCACATAATATTTACTTAGCTTGTTCCTGGTAATAGGTCGTGGGTGTAGGGTGGAGAATGTCACGCTGGCGGCTCGGGCCCTCCTTCACCTTGGCTCCTGGGGAGATCTGGGATTCGTCCTCCACCATGGCCCCAGCACCTGGGGAGATCTGGGACTCGTCCTCCACCTTGGCCCCAGCACCTGGGGAGATCTGGGACTCGTCCTCCACCTTGGCTCCAGCACCTGGGGAGATCTGGGGTGCGCTGCTCGACCTGGGCACAAGAGCCACGGGAGGGACTTTGATATTTGGTGCAGGCCGTTGCTTAGCATGTTCTGCCTTCTCCACACCTGATTTATTAGCAGGTTTGGGGATTGTTTTTGTAGCTGGATTTTGCTCCGTTCTTCCAGCAAGCTTATGGTTGTTTTTTTCTATTGGTTTTTGTTTTGCTTTGTTAGCAGGCTTTTGCATTACGTTTTCAGCAAGATTTTGTTTTGATCTCTGAGGAGATTCTGAAGCTGTTTTTCCTTTGGGCTTTAGAGATGTTTGGGGACGTGGTTTAGATTTAGGATTTGTTTCTTGGACAGCTTCTGGCTGAGGTTTATTGGGTGGTGGTGGAGGGTTTTGTTGAGGTTTATTGGGTGGTGGAGGGGTTTGTTGTGGTTTATTGGGTGGTGGAGGGTTTTGTTGAGGTTTATTGGGTGGTGGAGGGTTTTGTTGTGGTTTATTGGGTGGTGGAGGGTTTTGTTGTGGTTTATTGGGTGGTGGAGGGGTTTGTTGAGGTTTATTGAGTGGTGGAGGGTTTTGTTGTGGTTTATTGGGTGGTGGAGGGTTTTGTTGAGGTTTATTGGGTGGTGGAGGGTTTTGTTGTGGTTTATTGGGTGGTGGAGGGTTTTGTTGAGGTTTATTGGGTGGTGGAGGGTTTTGTTGTGGTTTATTGGGTGGTGGTGGCGGGGTTTGTTGAGGTTTATTGGGTGGTGGTGGGTTTTGTTGTGGTTTATTGGGTGGTGGAGGGTTTTGTTGAGGTTTATTGGGTGGTGGAGGGTTTTGTTGAGGTTTATTGGGTGGTGGAGGGTTTTGTTGTGGTTTATTGGGTGGTGGTGGCGGGGTTTGTTGAGGTTTATTGGGTGGTGGTGGGTTTTGTTGTGGTTTATTGGGTGGTGGAGGGTTTTGTTGTGGTTTATTGGGTGGTGGAGGGTTTTGTTGAGGTTTATTGGGTGGTGGTGGCGGGGTTTGTTGAGGTTTATTGGGTGGTGGTGGGTTTTGTTGTGGTTTATTGGGTGGTGGAGGGTCTTGTTGTGGTTTATTGGGTGGTGGAGGGTTTTGTTGAGGTTTATTGGGTGGTGGAGGGTTTTGTTGTGGTTTATTGGGTGGTGGCGGGGTTTGTTGTGGTTTATTGGGTGGTGGTGGCGGGGTTTGTTGAGGTTTATTGGGTGGTGGTGGCGGGGTTTGTTGTGGTTTATTGGGTGGTGGTGGCGGGGTTTGTTGTGGTTTATTGGGTGGTGGTGGCGGGGTTTGTTGTGGTTTATTGGGTGGTGGAGGCGGGGTTTGTTGTGGTTTATTGGGTGGTGGAGGGGTTTGTTGAGGTTTATTGGGTGGTGGAGGGGTTTGAGGTTTATTGGGTGGTGGTGGAAGAGATTGTTCAGGTTTATTGGGTGGTGGTGGAGGGGTTTGTTGTGGTTTATTGAGTGGTGGAGGGGTTTGTTGGGGTTTATTGGGTGGTGGAGGGGTTTGTTGAGGTTTATTGGGTGGTGGTGGAAGGGTTTGTTGTGGCTTATTAGGTGGTGGTGGTAGTGATAGAGGGTTTTGTTGAGGTTTACTGGGCGCTGGTGGAATATATTGTTGAAGTTTATTGGGTACTGGCGGAGGGTTTTGTTGAGGTTTATTGGGCGCTGGTGGAGAGTTTTGTTGAAAGTCAGCTGATGTCGTTTCGTGGTCTGATTCAACAGCTGTTGGCTCCAGCTTTCGATTTTCGTGAGTTTCTGGTTGTAGCTGTGTCCCCGGAGGAGTACGCTTTGCCTCAGCTAAGGGTGGCTTGCGTGCGGCTAGTAGCCCTGCGTTTCCTGATGCATCTACATGTTTACCATTTTGGCTTACTTGCCCCTTCGATTGCTGTCGAAGAACTGCCAACTTCTTGGTGAGAGCCATCTGTTGTTTTGATGTTTTTACTGGTTGACCGACGCCATCCTTAGCACCTGGAGTAACCATAAGCTTATTATCAGTGGATAAACAACGACTAATACAGTACTTTAAGTTAAAACGTTCGCTATGTATAAATCGCCATTTATTTATCATTAAATCTATATAAAGTACCACACTGTATATCTTCGCTGCTGAATTAAATATTTCACTATGTGATTCAACATCAAGTAATATGACATTAGTTTAGTTCATTACGGCATCACTGCGCATTTTTGCCTAGTAAACACCTGGACGTGATGTCATCCGTCCAGCTGAGTGAATTGAAAAGCTGTTCCATGTGTTTAATGTTGGATTAAAAAAGCATTTTGCTTTGTTAAACTGAAATTGTTTACAAACATTGTTGTACACTATAGTACACAGGCTTGGATGACGCCTTGAAACTTGACGGATAGAGATATAATAAGGAATTGCATTGGTGTTGCTGAAAGTGCATTAATTTCAACCCATCCTCCTATTTTTATAGTACTTTTCGCAACTATATGTGGTAGATCGAACCCATATGCAGTAATGTACCCCCAATAAGCCATTTCTTGTACTTTTTTTTATTGAGTCCGGATAAAATAAAGCTAAAAGCCAAACTTAATTACCCCTATGCTTAGTATAGGACATATATGTACTATATTAGGCCTCATATAGCGTGTATTAGACGTCTGAGAGTTAGGTTAGATTTTATTACCAACATAAATAGAAAAACTTTTCAGGTTTGTCCAAATTCAATGTTACGAAAGTCTACTTTCTGCTGATCCATCACAACATATTTGTTCTGTCGATCACATAGTTACTAAAAGTACTTTCATTTTAGGAGGATGTGCTGATTCATTTACATATAATTCTAAACATTTATCTACCTATACTGTATATCAAAATCTTTAAAGGTTATTTATTCAACTAACACATATTCATTATGCAACAAAGAGTATTTGATCAAGTAAATCATTGTACATATACCAGCCTCTCTCTCATCCTACTTACCGAATCCTTTACCCTGTTTCTTAACTTGTAGAGTTCTCCTAAAGTTTCTAAACGTCATGAAAACCGTTAATTGAAAGTTTTCTTTCCTAACCTAACCGAGTAAATCGGAAGACTCAAACAGAAAACGGGACAGTACATCACTTTCGTGAGCCGATTTCATTTAAAATTACGTCCATTTTTGGCCATAGCGCGCATACGGGCGAAAAGCGACGTTATTTTTAAGAGGACGAGTTGGAAGTGTAGCAACCACAGTAGAAGTTTAATGATGATGATAATAATAATAATAATAATAATAATAATTATTATTATTATTATTATTATTAGTATTAGTATAATATGTAGTAGAGGCTGTATGACAGCTTCTACTAAAGTATTAAACTTAGTACTGTATATTTTTCAGTGTAAGAACCCTTACTTAAGTCTTGTATATTTTCACACCCAAGCGTATCTTGATCAGTATAATTTAGTAGATCATCAATATAACATAATCAATATAATTTAATAGATTAGCGTGTATTAAGCTTCACTACCTAACACAAACTATGTGTGTGTTAGGCTGTGTGTGTCACCAGTTGATTGACAGTTGAGAGGCGGGACCAAAGAGCCAGAGCTCAACCCCCGCAAACACAACTAGGTGAGTACTGTACCAACATCCAAACACATAACAGTCCACTGTCTCGTCTGTTATTTATTTATCTTGAATCTCTCAGGATAATAACCTAAGATGAAGAAACTATTTTGAATGCGGTCTTTCAGCAAGTTCCATCACAGGATTTACCTTGCGAAGACATCCCCTAATCCTGTAATTAGTAACCCTTGTATATTCCTTAAGTATATTCTCATCACATACTACAAAATGACTTACCACGTTGCTGCTGTTGTTGTGTTGTCGTGACGAGAGTGGCGGCCCCCAACCCCACTACTAACACCATAAACAACTTCATGTCTGGACACTGTAGGAGGGCAGCCTAGCACAGCTGATACTGGGCTCTGGCGGACCTCGTCTGGTATTATCTTGATGAGTTTACTGATAACTTGATTATGACAATTGTCATATATATACTGCCGCTTTTCAATCTTTGGCATTCATTGCACTATAATCATTGGTAGTATTGGAGAAGGGTTTCTTTAATACACATGAAATGTAGCACCTTATAAAAGGCATTTACGCTGAATGGAAAATTAACAATTGTAATAATGTCTAACAAGTCGAATTTTTCTAAGTATTAATTTTTTTAAATATTTTCTTTTGTGAAATTATAAAGTTTTAATTATTGCTAACTAACTTAACTTCACCTCACCTAGCTTAAGTAAGTTAGTAATTTGATCATACAGGTACAAAAAATTCTTGACTTTAATCTCCATGAGTATAGATAACCGGGTTATCGCTTTTAGAGAACCACATGACACCAAATCGTATTGTAGATAGGGAGGACGAATTTTATTCCTGCAGCCAGCCACTACCTGGATACCATAACGATCACTTCTCTGGAAATTACAAGTTTTGTATAATTATAAAAAAACAAATTTAATTTCAGATGAAGGTCTCCCGTGGTGTTGACCAGAACCAACATGGCTGGCACCTGACCGACTGTCCCAGCAGCGCTCAAGGGCCCCGGGCACCCGCCAGCCACACGCACAGGACCTGTGCTCAGCATAATAAATCATGCCATCCTAGTAATGCCATATAAGTAGGTAAGCCACCCTAGGCCAAATATGGACTAATATAATTCATGTTTGTGCTGTTCTAGATCTAGGAATATTTAAGTTTGTTTTTTAGCTTTATTTTTTCTGGACTCTATAAAGTAAACAGTACCAAATTCTATTGATTGTCAAATACGTCAATATATGTATAATGACCCACACTCACGAATAGTACTATTTAAGCAGGAGGATGGGCTGGATCTTTGGAATGTGGGTGTTTGAAGCCTCGTGATCATGCACATTCCCACCTAAACAAGTCCAACCACAAAATTACTTTGTCTTTTTAGCTCTTTATTTGGTTAATTGATGAACAGTTAGGCAATGCTCATTTATATCAGTGTGACGCTAGTTCCCTGACATAAGAAAACCCCAAATAACTAGTAGGGGACACTTTCTGAGCTGTTTTCCCGCACTTTTTTTCGACACTTTTCCCCGCTATTAGCCAATATTAGACGGGTCTCGTTTATCCACCCTTTCTTATTTACATAATTATCCAGTCTGTTCCTGAAACTTGTCTCAATAATACAAGGCGGCAGCAGTGCTACTTATCCATAACTTGTTCCTAAGCAGAAGTTATTGTGCCTGAAACAAAACTTCATCTCCCCACACCTTCATCTGTGCTCACTTTTGTTAAAAATATGTTCAGTCCGTATCTTGCTTTTTAGGTCTAAAATTTACTTTCTGTATAATGTTCTTAATACTATTTTTGGACTTTAATTTACATTGCAAGAAATATTTATGTAAAGTGTGGATAAGAGCCGTCTCCTGAAGGTAAGAACATTGACCTATGATTATGTGGCTATGTTGCTAATGCGCGCGTTTGTATTATGAAGAAAAGGTTCTAAATATTAATAACAATATTCACTAATTAACGCTCAATTTGCACCGTTTATTTTTTTAAGAGATAGTTCTAGGGTGCCTTGACCATATGCCCATTTGATCCAATAATTAGTACCCCAAATACGCAATTCCACGGTGAGGTCTCATATTGGTCGTTTGGTCAGCGTCGTACCCCATAAACGACCTTGAATCGCCTATGCAGGTGCGCAACTGGTCTCGGTATTGACCAATTGAACCTTGTCAGAACGTTACTATCTGTAAACTAGTATACCAAAATAATGCCGAAACACGATACAAGTAGTGGAGTGTTGTCAGATAGTAATAAGCTCACTTATATATTGTTTTCAAGCTGATATGTCTTCATAGATGTTAATAATTTAAATAATATTTTTTGTAATATAGTTTAATAATCGTAATATAATAGTTTCGTTGCTAGCATTAGCTAGGTATTGGTATTGTATACTTTCATACTGCCAGTCTTATCAAACCCCACCAATGACAAAAGTTATATTTTTTCAGTTTATAAAATAATTTTTAGGTATGAATATTTTTTAATTACAATACATGTTTTAATCAGTAATAATATAAATGCTTTATGAATTACGTTGACAAATTAAGTTAATTAAATTAAGCACAGTGTAGAGAGTGTACACAGGACGTAACTACTGAAGTAATATTTATCAGTAAAAGAATGTGGTGGAGGTGGGGCGCGAGGCTTGGCACCACTGCATGAGGTCACTGGTGTGATAAGTTATCAGTTAAGAGTTGATCACTGCAGACCTCCGCCACACACCCTCCTGTACAGGTAGGTCAAGTAGTCCTTCCTCTCTCCTTACAACTACTCTCTTTACCAGAATTTACCTAAAGGCCATGGCCAAGCTTCATCAAGCATTTACGTGACCACTTACGAAACCTTTACATCTTTCTTCTATCATGATGGCTTTGTATTTATCAAACGAGGGTTCGAAAATTCGCAACCCAAGGTTTTTATTATTATAGACGTCCTCGTATCGTTTCGGAACATATATATATTATTTAATAAATGCTAACTAACTAAGCCTCTATGATTAAAGAAAAAGGTAAATGTTTCGTAAGTGAACAGTAAGGTGCTTGACAATCCTGACCAGCGTTGTCATATCAACACTATTTCATTGTTGTTGTTGTAGGGTTAGGGGCAGCTACAGCACAGGGCCGTATGTACTCAGATTGAAAGCTGTCTGAAAAACTGACATCATTTACTAACATTTAATACAATAAGCAGATAATATTGCTGTTGTTTTGTAATAACCAATTAACACTAGAAATAGTGTTGATCAAACCACACACTAGAAAATTCTAAAGCACTAGAAATAGTGCTTTAATAACTCATAGAAAACGAGAGCACAATGGAAATTTCCTCCAGTAGAAAACGGGATACCATTGCCACGTTGCTATTATATTCACCAGCCTAATGTTGGGGATCATTCTTAATACAGCAGTCTGTGGACTGTATCATAATAACATTTCCATTTAATCACCTTAATTATCAGTACCAAAATAGAGTAAATGTAGACCCTTTGAGCACTTCTTGACGCATCTGGACAAGACGCTGGATGAGTCCGGGGGAAGGTCGAGAGACCACAGTCAGTCGCCATTTTAGTTTAACCTGTCTCGCTGGGGCAAATTTAGCTCCAATAATTTTTCCCTTGGACAACAGTGTTATGGATTGTAAAGTGCTCCATTATGAACACAACTACGTCTACTATCAAGGGAAGTGTCCTAATGCCGAAACCCATTAATTATCTTTCAGTAACGTTAGGTAGCTAGAGGACAAACCGGTTAGGATACAAATCGAGACACAAAATAAGGTAAATATTCCTTGAACTTCATCTAATAAATTATACCAATATTTCCTCTGCTATAGCTGTCATATTTATGATTACTGCTGTTATTGTAAGTGCCCTTTGACAGGTGTAATGAAGAGGAAGAAGAATTAACACTAGTAGCCTAGTACCCCAGTAACGTGTTGATGCCAGCCTCAGCCACCAGGAGTATTTGGTGTGATCCTCCTTGTTCATAACTGGTGGACCAGGTTCACTACAGTACAGATAAGGCTTCCCCATTTTAGTTAATATCATATGTAGTCAAATACTGTAGTCAATGTCTACTAACCAATAATTTATATTGATTATATAAATAAATCATAACCCCCCCCCAGATTGTGTAAGGAAAGCTATTTGTGATAATTTAAAATCATACAGTCCATTTTACACATCACACAATTTGCTATCGAAAAATATAAATAAACTTTAAATATAAATTACTATATAAATTAATATAAACTAAATAAATATAAATCTCACAGGTCATATTCCGCACAAAAGCTATCTCGTGAGGATTTTAATGAGTCTATCATTTTAATGAGTTTAAGTCATGCAATATGTCCTCCGTCATCACCATTGCATAAGGAATTCGTAATATAGGTCATGGTTGCAGTATTTCTTTGTTGGAAGTATATTAATGTCATGTTTTATTTTATTAAGCTTAGGTACAGACAGCAATGTTCTGCTACCCTATTCTACATGAAAGATCACACAGTGTAGATCAAAAACTAGCTGTAAGTTCATATAATATTGCCATCTCACAGGATGAATAGTCATGCATGGAATCAGGAAAGAAAATACCTGACTCCTTACGAAAAATATATTTAATTTACTAAATAATAACTTTATGATTTTAATTTGTTCGTATTAACAAGCTTGTCAATGTCAAATACATTCCTGAATAACAGCAGTTAGAAAATTCAGAGCTGAATGTTTGTAAGACAACAGCCTATCCCACGGGTCAGGACTCTGGCAACCACATGTCTGGCTTATTTACAAGATTATGAATGAGACGTAACAATGAATTGTCTTAAATATCCAGAATTTATCAAAATGTTTATATATATATATATATATATATATATATATATATATATATATATATATATATATATATATATATATATATATATATATATATATATATATATATATATATATATATATATATATATATATATATATATATATATATATATATATATATATATATATACACGTTTCTATTTTGCAGGAGAAACGATGTACATTTGATGACTGGCTTCCCAGGACGTGGCCAATATGGTAAGATACATGGTAGGGATAATGTATTATTATGTTTAATAACAATTTATTCGTATATCCGATTAATTTATGGGTATTTTTGTGTTCTTAATAAGGTGTCATAATTAGTTACCGAATTAGAGCAAAGATATAAGGTTTTATATATTTCTAATTGATCTTTTGCCAGCTTTTGGTGGTATAATACTGTGAGGCAGGTGCGGTAACAACATATGGACGCCTGTGTCCGCTAGGCTCTTCTAACTATTTATCAACTCAGTTTTTAGCCCAAACGCCACTACATTTATGAATATACATATTCATTCAGTCTTTATAAATTATGTCCCAAATAATAATAATAATAATAATACACAGAAATTACATTAACGTGATATATCACTGAACAAATCCACAGGAGCAGTGACGAGGGTTCGAATCTATGTGACGGGTGTCCCAGGCAACGCTCTAGTCGACTATGCCATGACATGGTAAAAAAATTGCAATCTGGATTGCAATTTGCATTTGCAAGTACAAAGGTTCGAACCCTCATCACGGCTCCTATGGATTTGTTCAATAACAATAATAATAATAATAATTAGTAATGGTAGTGTCTTCTCACAGACATAATAACAGGTTTTAAAGCCCACACTTGTGTATTTGTGAAATTTATGTAAGGCATTTACACCAAGTCTTTCACACTCTCCTGAGTGTTTTGTCAAGGTCTGAGTGTGTGGTCAGGACCAGACTTATACCTCAACGTCTGATGAGGCTGCTATCCTCTTGTTGTTTGCTGTTTTAAATTCAGCTTCAAGACTCGGAACTGGGCTACTCTGAACAAAACGTTCCAAGTAGCACGGGCTATGGTGAGCCCGTGGTGGACTTACCTGGCACAGGAGCGGGGCTGTGACTCTGTGACCTGTTTTCCTGTTGTTGTTGTTGTTGGCCTCTGAGACCTATCGTTTCCTAGCTTAAAAGCACCTCAAAAGAACTTAGCTATTTGGCTAGCGAATAATTAAGGTGGATACTTGGGCAAATTCTCGAAAGCACATATTATTCATACTCAGGATTATATTGAGAAAGTAAGGAACAAAGGCCCCACCTTTTACCGAACCCATCTTGAGGTTATCTTGAGATGATTTCGGGGATTTTGAGATTTTTTACCCATAGTCAAAATTCGTACGTTCTTATCTTTTAGATAGTAGTATACTGACTAGTAAGGAATTATTTTAAAATGAATGAAGTTAAAACACAAACCTAAATGTTTCTAGGCCTAGTAAAGCACACATATGTACTATATAAGGCCTCAGATATCGTGTATTAGGCCTAGGAAGGTTAGGATTGTTAGGTTAATTTGTCAAAGAAACACAAATAAAAAATAGTTTTCCGGTTTGTCCAACTCAATAGTTCAGATTTATACTTTCTAATTTCGTGTAGGTGGGTATATATACTATGGTTGTCATGGTTACTTTAAGTACTACCCAAACATTAAGATGGGCTGAATGATGACATATTGAACAACATTTTAAGGTAAACTGACCCTGTACAGAGAAACAAGGTTAAACCAGGAACATTAGAACAAGAGGACACAAATGCACAAATTATATACAGATGCCATATAATATTAGAGATAAGAAAAGTTCATTCCTCGGCCGCCGGGACAGAAATGGTTGTCTCGAAGTACAATTTTAACACTGAAATGATTTTTTTGTCTCTCTTGTTGAAGGTTTTTAGTATATCAGAAAATGTTAACGTATTGGAAATTTTTTAGAATATCATGAAAATGAATATTTTTATTTATTATCGATTCTCGAACTATTTGATTCTGATATTAAATGTCCTTGTTTTATCATCTTAGAAGTCTGTTTGTATCATCTTTAGAATTCTGAAGACTAGTTACCTATTGATTCTTATTTTGATATGATATCTACCTATCGATGCATATTGTGACATTTAAATAATTGTATTGTTGTAATTATTTTTTGCTCTTCAGAATATCCAAGACGCTTGTAACTGCAAAGTCTGCTTCAGTGACTTCGACGACCAAGATCATCGTGCTCGGGTGCTGGCCTGCGGCCACACCTTCTGCGCCTCCTGCATCACTGACATGATCAAGAACAAGAATGGTACTGTTGCTTGTCCCAACTGTCGTAGCGAACACACTCTTACTACGGCCACCGACCTCAATGTTAACTACCTTATAGACGAAATGTTTTCAGAAGGTCAAACTGACTCAGCCCCTGCCCAAGCCCATGGCCAAGACCTTGTCCAAGCCCCTGTCCCTGTCCAAGCTCCTGACTGCCATGTTGACAAACCTGGTTGTCCTAAGCTAAGTGCAGGAGTGTGTGACGATCACGGCCAGTACCTGCTCTTCAAGTGCGGCACATGTGACGTATGGATCTGTCAAGCATGTACCGTTGTTGAACACCCAAGGGAAAAATGTTCAGTTTTAAGTATCAAAAAGGCTATTGAAGATATGAAAACTAATGCAACAAACAACATAAACTCCCAGATTGCTAAATGTGAAGCAGCATTAGCTAAACTAAACAGTTACGACTCGGAGCTAGAAGAACAGGTCCAATCACATCACAATTATTTAATAAGTCAAGAAGCTGTGATGAGCCACTGTAGAGAGACAATGAGCGCCCTCGAGACGGAGCAACACAGAGCATGTAAGGAACGAGAAGAATGTTATGGAGCGAAGCAAGACCTGGAGGCTCTGGTTGGGCGTATTGATGACACCTTCACTCTGCAGGAAGTAAATGATTGCCTCCAAGATACTCGCCAGGTTGAGCAAACAATTGACAACTGGACAAAGCATTTTGAAGATAATTTTCCAAATGAAACACTCGTCTCAAAATCAAAGAAGGTAATATCCAGGATATTATAGGTATAGGATAGGTTGTGGAAATATAGGATAGGTTGTGGAAATATCCACAACCTATCAGCAACTGATGCCACAACATGGACATGATCTGGTGTGTCAGTAACCAGGAACTACCCCACACACAGCTACACACAGTTACACTACAGTAACACTCAATACAACACACCGTAGTGAATGGCTGCTCCTCTCCTCCCTCCCTATACTCTGCCCTCCTCATAAGATTCCAGCTTCACTAACCTTTCTACGGGCCTACTTTCTCATGCTTTATGAGGGGTGTGAAGGTGTATACCCTACTGTCTCATACTTTATAAGGGGTGTGGAGGTATATACCCTACTCACTCATACTGTATAAGGGGTGTGGTGCAGCTCATAAACCGTTTAACATATTCAGACTATGGAGTCATGATTAAATGAAAGATATACAGGTTCCGTAAAAGGATATGCAAATACTCAATGAAACCTGGCCGAGGTGTCCTCCAGTGTGTGTGTGTGACTTTCCAGGTGGAGATGATGAGCGGCGTCGTCCAGCAGCTGGTCTCCTGGGACGCCACCACCCGCCTGCAGGAGCAAGACCTCCGCCAGGTCGTTCAGGCCATCAAGAGAACGGTTTGTCGAGTCCAATGTTATCGTCATACTTGTCGTGTTGTCCTGTAATGTCATCTGATGCCTCTGTTCATCCAGTAGTAAATAGGTACCAGGAAGTTAGTCAACTGTTGGTGTTTGTATCCTGGGGGGGGGGGGTCTGTAGTGGGCCTAGGTTAGAGGGACCTCGATAACCCATATTAGGCTTCCTGTTCCCCCGACTGTGGTGACGTGCATGGTGTGACGCCCGTTACTGTGTGGTGTGACGCCCGTTACTGTGTGGTGTGACGCCCGTTACTGTGTGGTGTGACGCCTGTTACTGTGTGGTGTGACGCCCGTTACTGTGTGGTGTGACGCCCGTTACTGTGGTGTGACTCCCGTTACTGTGTGGTGTGACGCCCGTTACTGTGTGGTGTGACACCCGTTACTGTGTGGTGTGACGCCTGTTACTGTGTGGTGTGACGCCCGTTACTGTGTGGTGTGACGCCCGTTACTGTGTGGTGTGACGCCCGTTACTGTGTGGTGTGACGCCTGTTACTGTGTTGTGACGCCCGTTACTGTGTGGTGTGACGCCCGTTACTGTGTGGTGTGACGCCTGTTACTGTGTGGTGTGTTACTGTGTGGTGACTCCCGTTACTGTGTGGTGTGACGCCCGTTACTGTGTGGTGTGACTCCCGTTACTGTGTGGTGTGACGCCCGTTACTGTGTGGTGTGACGCCCGTTACTGTGTGGTGTGACGCCCGTTACTGTGTGGTGTGACGCCTGTTACTGTGTGGTGTGACGCCCGTTACTGTGTGGTGTGCCCGTTTACTGTGTGGTGTGACGCCCGTTACTGTGTGGTGTGACGCCTGTTACTGTGTTGTGACGCCCGTTACTGTGTGGTGTGACGCCCGTTACTGTGTGGTGTGACGCCCGTTACTGTGTGGTGTGACGCCCGTTACTGTGTGGTGTGACGCCCGTTACTGTGTGGTGTGACGCCCGTTACTGTGTGGTGTGACGCCTGTTACTGTGTGGTGTGACGCCCGTTACTGTGTGGTGTGACGCCCGTTACTGTGTGGTGTGACGCCTGTTACTGTGTGGTGTGACGCCTGTTACTGTGGTGTGACGCCCGTTACTGTGTGGCGTGACGCCCGTTACTGTGTGGTGTGACGCCCGTTACTGTGGTGTGACGCCCGTTACTGTGTGGTGTGACGCCTGTTACTGTGTGGTGTGACGCCCGTTACTGTGTGGTGTGACGCCTGTTACTGTGTGGTGTGACGCCCGTTACTGTGGTGTGACGCCCGTTACTGTGGTGTGACGCCTGTTACTGTGTGGTGTGACGCCCGTTACTGTATGGTGTGACTCCCGTTACTGTGTAGTGTGACGCCCGTTACTGTGTGGTGTGACGCCCGTTACTGTGTGGTGTGACGCCTGTTACTGTGGTGTGACGCCCGTTACTGTGTGGTGTGACGCCCGTTACTGTGTGGTGTGACGCCTGTTACTGTGTGGTGTGACGCCTGTTACTGTGTGGTGTGACGCCTGTTACTGTGTGGTGTGACGCCTGTTACTGTGTGGTGTGAAGCCTGTTACTGTGGTGTGACGCCCGTTACTGTGTGGTGTGACGCCTGTTACTGTGTGGTGTGACGCCCGTTACTGTGTGGTGTGACGCCTGTTACTGTGTGGTGTGACGCCCGTTACTGTATGGTGTGACGCCCGTTACTGTGTGGTGTGACGCCCGTTACTGTGTGGTGTGACGCCTGTTACTGTGTGGTGTGACGCCCGTTACTGTGTGGTGTGACGCCCGTTACTGTGTGGTGTGACGCTCTGCCTGTTACTGTGTGGTGTGACTCCCGTTACTGTGTGGTGTGACTCCCGTTACTGTGTGGTGTGACTCCCGTTACTGTGTGGTGTGACTCCCGTTACTGTGTGGTGTGACGCCCGTTACTGTGTGGTGTGACGCCTGTTACTGTGTGGTGTGACGCCTGTTACTGTGGTGTGACGCCCGTTACTGTGTGGTGTGACGCCTGTTACTGTGTGGTGTGACGCCCGTTACTGTGTGGTGTGACGCCCGTTACTGTGGTGTGACTCCCGTTACTGTGTGGTGTGACGCCCGTTACTGTGTGGTGTGACGCCCGTTACTGTGTGGTGTGACGCCTGTTACTGTATGGTGTTCACCTCTAGTTGACATTATATTAAAGTTATAATGTGGTGATGATTTTTATCCTTAATTTGTTGTTTACGTACATATATAAATTCTGATAATACAGGTTACCTCTGTATGGAGAGTATTCTATATTGTATTGCCAATATATACTTTAAAGTAATCATACTAGAGATATTTTCAACATTATATTTCAGCTGTTGCAAGCCCTTGTGAAGACGAGAGAAGTGTACGCTGTAGTGGAGAGAGAACACCAAATGTATCTTCCTCTTACATACCATGACAACACCTTCATCTTTGGTCCTGTACAGCACCACCTTCACTCTCCCCAAGCCCACCTCATGTCGGTAAGTTACTGGTCAGTACTCAGCCTCACCTTACCCCTCCCTCAGGCCCACCTCATGTCGGTAAGTTACTGGCCAGTACTCAGCCTCACCTTACCCCTCCCCCAGGCCCACCTCATGTCGGTAAGTTACTGGTCAGTACTCAGCCTCACCTTACCCCTCCCCCAGGCCCACCTCATGTCGGTAAGTTACTGGTCAGTACTCACAGCCTCACGTTACCCCTCCCCCAAGCCCACCTCATGTCGGTAAGTTACTGGCCAGTACTCAGACTCAAAAGTTATGTACACAAATTGTGTGCAAACAAAATCAATTATAAATGTACAGCAGTTAATGAAGAAAGTTTTGATTTTATTTCATTAAATGTGTATAGAAAAAGTGGGAATTCCTGTAAAATATATTTTTATTTATTTATTTATTTATTAATTTGTTTATTTATTTATATACAAAAAAGCACAATGGGTTTGTTAGAGAACATAACATTGGTGTTCTTACAGTCACTAACACACATAGCGTTTCGGGCAAATTATAAGTATTCATGCTAATATATTCCACGTTCAGTCACTAGCTTGTAAATATATTTATCATCATATACAGGTAGTGTGTAGGCAGGTTCTGAATAAATATAATATATTTAATATAATCGGTTCCAAATGTGTTGTTGTGTGGTCAGCTGCAGGAGTTGCTTAGTGAGAGTGGGGCCGTGTACGCTGTGGTGGAGGAGGGGGCGAGGTGTAGCCTAGCTGCCCAGGTCACACCCACCGGGGCAGGTTACACCCTACACCCGCTCCTACACTCCCAGGTCCCACCACACTCCACCAAGATACCTGTGAGTTGCCTTACAGTCTACCTTATATCTCATTATTACTCATATATCAAACTTGATCATAATATTTGATTAAATTTTGCTGCTGCGGTTGTAATAACTCATAATTATACAAATGTTATATTTATATAAACATATATACATTTGGGGCATGATAAAGCGGAGAACTCGTAGGTTGTAAATGTACACTATATAAAGCTACTGATACACAGAGCGTTTTCAGCATAATTATATTGTTCCAACATCTAAAACCTTGAGTTACTCTAACTTAAAATTGGTGGTTGTTCTATTAATATCTGGTGCTGACACCACGACTGGTGACTGTAAGTGTCAGGCTTGGTGACACACACACCAGCTGGTGCAGACGACACCACCACTGGTGACTGTAAGTGTCAGGCTTGGTGACACACACCAGCTGGTGCAGACGACACCACCACTGGTGACTGTAAGTGTCAGGCTTGGTGACACACACCAGCTGGTGCAGACGACACCACCACTGGTGACTGTAGTGCCAGGCTTGGTGACACACACCAGCTGGTGCAGACGACACCACCACTGGTGACTGTAAGTGTCAGGCTTGGTGACACACACCAGCTGGTGCAGACGACACCACCACTGGTGACTGTAAGTGTCAGGCTTGGTGACACACACCAGCTGGTGCAGACGACACCACGACTGGTGACTGTAAGTGTCAGGCTTGGTGACACACACACCAGCTGGTGCAGACGACACCACCACTGGTGACTGTAAGTGTCAGGCTTGGTGACACACACCAGCTGGTGCAGACGACACCACCACTCTCAGTAAGAAAGATATACAAGGATGGACTTAATTTATTTATTTATTAAATTTTTTTATTAAGTGACTTGAGAATGTTTACCCCCTCAGTGACAACAATAATATTCCCTACACTTGACATTAGTAGTATTGAGAAGCGGTGAATATATCAAGTTTTACAAGAGTAAGATTAAAAGGTAAAACTGTACAAGATTTTACAAATATTAAAATAACTTATTTAAATTATAGGCTATCAATTTAAATACAGGAAAATGCTTTAAATTGTGATCATTAACACATGTATAGTGTAAATTACCAGAAGTTAGTCACATGTATAACTAACCGGAAGTGAGTCACATATATAACTAACCAGAAGCAACTATAGGCTTCAAGCCGAGCTCTGCACTTAGGAGTGAGAACAGACTAACACTGCGGCCACTTGCTATCCCGCACAACTGCTTAACACATCCATTATTACTGTTGGTCAACTTGGAAATACTTAAATATTATAAATTATGTTTCACATGTTATTTATTTGTGCAGCTATTGGAGACATTAGTGGGAGCCGGGTTGGTGGTGGGTGTTGAGGAGGAGAGCGGGCGAGGCGGCGTGGCTAGCCTCTCCTGCCTCCACACACAGCCTCCACACCTGTTGTGCCTCCATGTCCTCAGGTACCATCCCCCTCCTCCACCTCCTGCCGACTCCTTCAAAATATCAGTAAGTGAACAGTGACTTGTGTCCGTATGTCATAACCGATGATTTTAGTTTTTTGAGTTTGTATAATATTTATACGGGAATGATTAAAGATTTGTAATTATCAGTAATTATCAGTAATTACTCATCAGTAATTATTGTAAACTGAAATCTTGACAGAACGGATATTTACACCGAATGGAGTACCTCATTTCTCGCCGTATATACTATATATACAGATAGTATACTATAACTGGACTATGTTCAGGACTAAAGTATACTTGCTGGTTGGTCAGTAAGCTATTGCGGTGTTGTTAATGACCCTCCTGAGGTGGATAGGCTCGAAGTTCAACACAGAATCAAATTAGAATGAAAAATGATAGCTGTAACTTATAATATTAGTCTGTTTTAGAAGTTATGAGTTAATGTCAATAAAAACAGTTAGTATTAAGATAAGTTAAACAAAGGTTTAGACATTGACCACCAGCTATGGCAGAGTTGCCGCCACGACTCACCAGGGACACCTTTCTCACCATGAAAACTCATTATACACAAACGCCGTCCAGTGGGTGGCTGCCAGGTGTATGATAAACATATGAAGATTATATGTAACAGCTCACCACACGTGTAAATAAATTAGCTTAGGGACCCATTATGTGGGTCCCTAAGCACAGGGCCCATTATGTGGGTCCCTAAGCACAGGGGCCCATTATGTGGGTCCCTAAGCACAGGGGCCCATTATGTGACACAACTACAGGACCAAAGGACCACATTATGTGAAACTTTGCTGCTACTCACTCTCAACATGGGATGAGGTCTGTAATAAAGTAAAACTCTCTCGTTGAGTCGGGGCCTCTTTGGATGAAGGCTGTGTTAGTTGAAAACTGTGCATACACTCTTGATGTACATCTTAAACCATGTAACTGACTCATCAAGATTGTAACTTGCTTAGCTCAAGGAAGTTTGGGGTTCAGTTCCTGAGCCTTTAACGTCAAATTAATAGTTTATCCCATTTATTACTACACATTAACAGTTAGTGAAGTAACTACTACTCATATTACAAGCTTGGATCACATACTAACATTCTTGCTTGTATCTTTTAGTACAGACACTTGCACCAGATGATAGGAGAGTCCACAGTCGAGGTGTTCCTTGAGCTAGCCTGGGGAGGGAAGACACGCGGCCGAGTGTATATGAAGGTGGACGTGACCTCCGGACGTGGCCAGCAGTTCCTCATGCTGTGCACAGGAGAAGGAGGCTTTTCTTACGTCAACACTAAGCTTCTCAGTGTTGGTAACAAGGGCCACCCAGGAGAATTCCTCCTTGGCGGAGACTATGAGAATAATGACGGCAGTGGTGGTGCTGCGCTGTTGGCGGGCATTCCGTCCGCTCCAGGACTTGCAAGACCACTGACTGCAGGTCTACTGTCCGGTCACAATCACTCAGACAAAAGCAGCCAGTTTCTCATCTACACGAAAGATCTTCCAGGATGTAAAGATTATCTGAGTTTTGGGAAAGTGAGGGAAGGTTTGGATGTGTTGGTGTCGGCTGCTGCACTCAGTGACCCGCGTGAGGCCACTGTGGAAGATTGTGGCGTGATTGTGTCGTTGTAAGTAATGAAGACGCTGCCATGTTACACAGCTACCTTAGGTATCTAATAATATGCATTACTTATGTATTATGCAGACGGTGAGTCACAATAACGTGGCTGAAGCGTTGATATCCAACCCACAACTGAAAATGAAGAAACTATGACGTTTCGGTCCGTCTTGGACCATTATCAAGTCATGTAATGGAAAGACAGTGGAAAGAGGAACACCAAGGTTCACAAACTCGGTGTCGATCTTCGTCCTGACATTTCTTCGGAAAGCTCAGTCGGTTATCCTCTTGCTTCCTGACTTGCCAAAACTCTCACTCTTATCATTGTACTTTTTCTCCTGCGCACCTTCGTCACTCTCACGACGAAGTTCTGGCCAGTTCCCCCTTCTCCCACTCTCAGTGTTCTGGCAAGACACCATTCCCCCACACTAGCTACCACCTCCCTTCCCCAAACTAGTGTTCCTGCCAATTACCAGTCACCGGCTCACTGAGTGTTCTGGTAAGTGCCCCCTCGAGGTTATTCCGTTTTCTTTGATATATAAATAAATGAACTCTTGACAAATCGCATGTGCATAGGAGAGTGACACGTGCCCAGTAGAGTGGCACATGTTCAGGAGAATGGCGGGATAGGAGAAAACAAGGTTAGGTTAGGTTGGGTCGGGACAGGTTTACTTAAAGAGTAAAGGTGTAGGGTGGTGGAGACTGGTGAGGTGTTAGAGCGCTGCGGCTTGATCAGAGGCGGGGTGATTCCTGTCATAAGGTTTGTGTACACCGAGGGGTGTACCTGGATTATCACGGATATATACACTGGCAGTTTAGTGCAGGACAGGAAGTCCACTACGGGCTCTCCATAGCCCGTGCTACTTGCCCCGCTCCTGTGCCAGGTAAGTTACAGGCTCACCATAGCCCGTGCTACTTGGAACTTGTTCCGAGTAGCTGAATCTATAACAACAACATAGTGCAGGATGACATTGGTCAGCAGGTCCAGCGGGTGATCTAGACCAGAAGCAGCGCCAAAACTATTGATGTCCAAGGGTTGCCTCCTGAAGTGTGACCAACACCGCTCTCATCCTCATCAAAACCAACAGCTTTCTCTCCAGTATTTGTTGAAACTTTCTTATATTTCTATACGAAGCGATCCTGCACTTTGGGCCTTTCATATATTTGTTGAGCATCAATTAACTTGTATACGCGCAGCTCCAAGTTCATTTTTAAAGACTATATTTAACGTTTTATTTTTAATTACTTTCAATATAATTACAATAAAGAATTTATAATTTCTAAAGCTCGTGATGTATCATGTTTAATATGTAATAATTATAAATATATATTGACTGGTCAAAGAGAACAGAATGGGGTTCACTACCACCCACAGGATGGGTGTGGGGTCCACCACCACCCACGGGATGGGTGTGGGGTCCACCACCACCCACGGGATGGGTGTGGGGTCCACCACCACCCACGGGATGGGTGTGGGGTCCACCACCACCCACGGGATGGGTGTGGGGTCCACCACCACCCACGGGATGGGTGTGGGGTCCACCACCACCCACGGGATGGGTGTGGGGTCCACTACCACCCACAGGATGGGTATGGGGTCTACTACCACCCACAGGATGGGTATGGAGTCCACTACCACCCACAGGATGGGTGTTGGGTCCAATACAACCCTCCAGATGGGTTTTGAGGTGCATAATAAATAAATTCTGCTAGAATTTACCTACTTAAAATTATCTGTTAGACTAAGGACCTGCCCGAAACGCTGAGCGTATTAGTGGCTTTACAAGATTGTAAAAACTATGCATCCTCACAAACCCAATGTACCTTGTAAATAAATTAATAAATAAATAAAAAGTAAATAAAATGAACTGAGGGTGTTTACGTTGACTTATTATAAAAAGTATTTGTCTATCTTTATATATGATTTTAATGGCCATTTAAAAATTTGCTAAATTATTGCTCTGATATTACACAATTATAAATATAATAAAGAATTTTTATGTGCTTCAATATGTAAAGAAAAATAGAGCATTTAGACAAGCGTAGAGACGAGAGCTATAGTCAGGTTGGCCGAGTGGTCTAAGGCGCCAGATTTAAGCTCTGGTACTCGCAAGAGTGCGTGGGTTCGAACCCCACACCTGACACAGTGTAAGGTTTTTGCATGATATACAAGCGCAGTGAGGTAATGTGCTGGTGTATTCAACCCTAGTAAAGAGCACATTAAAAGTTAATTGGTACATAAAAAGAAATATCTATACTCATCAAAATGCAGAAGGGATAAATACAAGAAAATGTTTACCCTCATTCTGGGTTATGTACGGTTCGGTACACTGTTTAGTCGTGACCGTGTTCAAGACTAAACTGTGTACCGTCTGGTTGGTCGTACAGTATTGTGGTGGCCCCAATGACCCTCAAGAGATCGATAGGCCTTAAGCCTAACACCAAACCAACTAAAGTACAGATTTTGTATAATTAGCTGACTAAATGGCAGTACGGTTGAGTAACTGGCAGTCTGCAACCGTCTCCTGTACCACACTACAGCTTCCCCATGTGAAACCTTTATGGAGCGTCGACACCACCATATTTACCCGTACTTTATTATATATTGATTTGTATTCACTTAAAATATCAATAAACTTGGTGGACATGTGCCACTCAGCCTTCTTTTGGTAATACTTACTTGTGCATGTATTGAACGTTTATATCATATGTGAGTTAATTTATCATAAATTGTTTGAGTAATTCAATTTCAATTTCTTTCTTTATTATGCACCCCATACCCATCCCGTGGGCGGTGGTGTAAAGGATTACAGAGGCACATAATCGGTTCAGGAACTGTTTGAGTAAATAATGATATCTCGAAACTTTGTAAAGGATTTATGTGGATTATTTTTTGGGGGGAGGAGAGGCGGGCATTTTGTGTATTAAGGAGATCTACAGTTACTGTAATGTATTTAAAATGAGTTAACTGTAGTATAAAGGTATTTTTATTATACTCTGCGAGAGATTCATTAGTTTTTTATTTTGCAAGATTAAAGTTATGCCTTATTTATAAGTTTTTTTTTATGTATGATTCTATATATTTCTAGTACATATCAAGATAATCATATAGACTAATATATTATTTCGACAAATGTAAAATAAATTGAATTAAAGAATTTTCTGTGCCAAATGAACTTACAGATAGATTTTTAACTATTGTACAATATTTATATTTGCAAAGTTAAATTTAAAAACAACAATGGATAGGACTGAGTAAAATACAATCTTTCCTAAACAATAAAAATACACAATTTAAGCCTAGAGTTAGGCTTGTGCCCCCTGTGAGGTTTGAACTCACGACCCCTGGTTTACGAGACCAGTGCTCTACCACTGAGCTAAGGAGGCGCACGCACAGGATCTTTCTCCCACTCAAACTTTCCCGCATATTCCCTTCTCCACAGTTCTTTACAAGTGAGTTGGTATTTTTTTTTTAAGTCGTCTGAGTTCACAACGATTAGCAGAATTCGTGTCTTCGGTTTGGCTATATGTACACCAATCTACGTTAGTTGACTTACCAGCTTGCCGGTTGCTCTCTCTTCTCTCTTGTTTCTCTCTCTTTACTCTCTCTCTCTCTCACACACAAACCTGGAGTCCATATCTATTAAACACAAGGCAAAGTTATAGAAGATTAGAGGTTTGCCATTAGACTAGTCGCAGAACTGAGATGTGGGAGCTATGAGGAAAGGCTACGGGAGGTAAACCTCGTCCCTAGAAGACAGAAGACTAAGGGGAGACATGATCACCACCTACAAAATTCTCAGGGGAAGGGAAATTGACAGGGTGGACAAAGATACTATTTAGCACGGGTGGAACACGAAGAAGGGGACACAGGTGGAAACTGAGTATCCAAATGAGCCACAGGGACGTTAGAAAGAACTTTTTCAGTGTCAGAGTAGTTAACAGATAGAATGCATTAGGCAGTGATGTGGTGGAGGCAGACACGTGTACTCACATAGTTGTGCTTGCGGGGATTGAGCTTTGGCTCTTTGGTCCCGCCTCGACTGTCAATCAACTGGTGTACAGGTTCCTGAGCCTACTGGCCTCTATCATATCTACATTTGAAACTGTGTATGGAGTCAACCTCCACTACATCACTGCCTAATGCATTTTTTTTTTGAGATATATACAAGAGTTGTTACATTCTTGTACAGCCACTAGTACGCGTAGCGTTTCGGGCAGGTCCCTGGAATACGATCCCCGCCGCGAAGAATCGTTATTACAACCAAGTACACATTTTACTGTTGAGTTAAACAGAGGCTACAGTTAAGGATTTGCGCCCAGTAAATCCTCCCCGGCCAGGATACGAACCCATGACATTCTATTTATTAACTACTCTTACAGTGAAAAAATTCTTTCTAACGTCTCGATCTGTGGCTCATCTGGATACTAAGTTTCCACCTGTGTGTGTGACTCAAGAGACCATGGGACCCCCCCCCCCTACACCTGAGATACACCCCTGCCTATATTATCTTTGGGAACTTTGGTTTTGTAGTACGTGGTGACTCGCCGTAGGCGTGGACTCGCAACAGACCAGTACACGCGGTGCTCCCACAACACCTGGATGTCTGGCAATGTTTAGCCTAACTGTGGCGAGGACTGTCAACCTGCTGCCTGACACATGAACCACGAATACATTTGTCATCAATGACAATTCTTCGTGACATTAAACACAGGTTTCTCATATGATAACATAAGTATGATGGCGCGACGTCACGCAGTATGTGACTGGAGGAAGGTGGTGGAGACGGCGACACCTGCTGGGCCAGTATTCATATATAACACTTACGGCCACGTTTGTGGTAGAAAATAATAAAAATAAAAACTTACATGTACACCTAAAACCCACTTTCGTGTAGACTTAAGACATGTTCACCTCTAGCCTCCATCATGGCGACTTGTTTATATTTACTAAACAGTTTGCGAGCGCGGAAGTGCTACGAAGTCGTCCTTCATCCCAAGCTTATTATTATAGACGAGCTCGTAGCACTTGAGGGTCGTAAAGCGTTTAGTAAATAGAGAGAAGCGGCCATGATGGCGGTAGAGGTCGGCCAGGTGGAGGGGTCAGCCCGGGAGGTGACCGCGGCCGCCGGCCTCCACACCCACCCCTCCTCACTCGTACATCGTTGTATCGTTCATGGCTTATAAAATACTCACACATTCAAAACAGTTGAAGTGACACGTTGCTTCAGTAGCACACAGTGCCAGGCGTGAGCACATACTCTACTAGCTAGGGTGCATAGTTATGCGGACACAGATCACACTATTTATTTATCTTTGGCATTATTGGACTACAAAAATATGTGTGGAATATTAAAGACTCGTCACTACTAGACTAAGGAGCGGGGGGCTCCGCTCCTCCTCATCAACATGAATGATTTAACCAATAGTTAACAACATTAACACAGTCCTGCTGGTAGCATATAGTTTGTGATTATATTTAACAAATGCTGTTCCAGCCGGAATGTTCCAACTGGGTATTCCAGCCAGTGTTCTAACTGGAGTGCTCCAGCCGAATGCTAAAATCGTATATTCAAGCCAGAGTGTTCCAGTCAGTGTTTCCAAATGGAGAGTTCCAGTCGAGTGTTCTAGTAGAGTGTTCCAGCTGGAGTGTTCCAGCCGCAGACCTTAGTACAAAAGCTCCCAACAGTTATACAAACGTTGGCAAGAATTCTTTACTCTCTTACATAGTTTGAATTTAAAGACTAGAAGCCCTGATTATTTCTTATATAGGCCTGTGAATTGGGCCGTTAGTAGGCCTGGGCGCGAAGTGCCACGAGACTGGCTGTGGACGCCTGGAGAGGAACTGGTTTCTTTATGGTGGGCGCCGTAGTGGTGGTTGTCAGTGGCTCGGAGGGGCCCAGATACGGAGAGGTAATGTGTGCACCAAGGGGCAGGCTGGCAGGCGCCACCTGGCCAATAACAAGGTTAGCAGATGATGTTGGGCAGATGGGCAGGCTTACTGAGGACGCCTGGGCAAGGGGGAGTGTGGCCGCCGACGCCGGCCCTACAGAGACACTCGGGGCCTGTGAGCCAATGGGGTTACTGAGAAGAGATGGCGGGGAGGTGATTGGACCGGTGAGTATTGAAGGCGGGGAGGCCGTTGAGCCTCTTCCAGAGCCTGACGGCGCCGCAGAAGGAGGCTTGAAGGTGCAGATCCCACAGAAAGCGGGATGGTAGAGGGGCCCCAACCCACCAAGCCCTCCAGCTAGCGTCATGCACCTGCAAATACAACATAAGTCAACAAAATACACTTTATTAACTAAATAAAAAAAATTTGCAGTTGTCATTAATTTTATATTAGTAATGAGATTTTATATATATATAAATATATATATATATATATATATATATATATATATATATATATATATATATATATATATATATGTTGTACCTAGTAGCCAGAACGTCGTACTCAGCCTACTATGCAAGGCCCGATTTGCCTAATAAGCCAAGTTTTCCTGAATTAATATATTTTCTCTAATTTTTTTCCTTATGAAATGATAAAGCTACCCATTTCATTATGTATGAGGTCAATTTTTTTATTGGAGTTAAAATTAACGTAGATATATGACCGAACCTAACCAACCCTACCTAACCTAACCTAACCTATCTTTTTAGGTTAGGTTAGGTTAGGTAGCCGAAAAAGTTATGTTAGGTTAGGTAGTCGAAAAACAATTAATTCATGAAAACTTGGCTTATTAGGCAAATCGGGCCTTGCATAGTAGACTGAGAAGTGCGTTCTGGCTACTAGGTACGACATATATATGTATATATATATATATATATATATATATATATATATATATATATATATATATATATATATATATATATATATATATATGTGTGTGTGTGTATATCACGAAAATAAACACGTGATTAAGAATGTGACAATGTCAGACCACGGAGGAAAAATGAAACAGGAATTTCCTTAAGTACTTTCGTATATTAAATACATCTTCAGAAGGTGATATATATATATATATATATATATATATATATATATATATATATATATATATATGTCGTACCTAGTAGCCAGAACGCACTTCTCAGCCTACTATGCAAGGCCCAATTTGCCTAATAAGGCAAGTTTTCATGAATTAATGGTTTTTCGACTACCTAACCTACCTAACCTAACCTAACCTAACTTTTTCGGCTACCTAACCTAACTTAACCTATAAAGATAGGTTAGGTTAGGTTAGGTAGGGTTGGTTAGGTTCGGTCATATATCTACGTTAATTTTAACTCCAATAAAATAAAAATTACCTCATACATAATGAAATGGGTAGCTTTATCATTTCATAAGAAAAAAAATCGAGAAAATATATTAATTCATGAAAACTTGGCTTATTAGGCAAATCGAGCCTTGCATAGTAGGCCCAGAAGTGCGTTCTGGCTACTAGGTACGACATATATATATATATATATATATATATATATATATATATATATATATATATATGTCGTACCTAGTAGCCAGAACTCACTTCTCAGCCTATTATGCAAGGCCCGATTTGCCTAATAAGCCAAGTTTTCATGAATTAATTGTTTTTCGACTACCTACCCTACCTAACCTAACCTAACCTACCTTTTTGGGCTACCTAACCAAACCTAACCTATAAAGATAGGTTAGGTTAGGTTAGGTAGGGTTGGTTAGGTTCGGTCATATATCTACGTTAATTTTAACTCCAATAAAAAAAATTGACCTCATACATAATGAAATGGGTAGCTTTATCATTTCATAAGGAAAAAATTTGAAAAAATATATTAATTCAGGAAAACTTGGCTTATTTGTTTTATTGGAGTTAAAATTAACGTAGATATATGACCGAACCTAACCAACCCTACCTAACCTAACCTAACCTATATTTATAGGTAAGGTTAGGCTAGGTAGCCAAAAAAAGCTAGGTTAGGTTAGGTTAGGTAGGTTAGGTAGACGAAAAAACATTAATTCATGAAAACTTGGCTTATTAGGCAAATCGGGCCTTGAATAGTAGGCTGAGAAGTGCGTTCTGGCTATTAGGTACGACATATATATATATATATATATATATATATATATATATATATATATATATATATATATATATATATATATATATATATATATATATATATATATATATATATATATATATATATATATATATAAATATATATATATAATATATATATATATATATATATATATATATTTATATATATATTTATATATATATTTATATATATATATATATATATATATATATATATATATATATATATATATATATATATATATATATATATATTAGTATATTTTGGTAGCAGTCTTTCCTGTAGACATATATTATTAAATATGACCGAAAAAGTAAGATTAATAATTCTAACACGAATTTTCTCGATCTTTCTTACGTTTCTTTTCACTGTTGATGGTAATTCAAAGATCAATTCTCCAAAATTCATTTTTATTTCTAGTCTGACGCGACACTTGAGCGCGTTTCGTAAAACTTATTACATTTTCAAAGACTTTAGTTTACAAACACACAACTGAAACTGAATAGAGCTTTCACATCTTCGAGGTTTATATCTACATTTGGGTGAGGTGGATGAGGTGAAAAACGAACTTTCAACAATGGGTATTGAATGGGTATTAAATTCAAACACAAGACAAAACAATTTTACTAAAGTAAACTAAAGTCTTTGAAAATGTAATAAGTTTTACGAAACGCGCTCAAGTGTCGCGTCAGACTAGAAATAAAAATGAATTTTGGAGAATTGATCTTTGAATTACCATCAACAGTGAAAAGAAATGTAAGAAAGATAGAGAAAATTCGTGTTAGAATTATTAATCTTACTTTTTCGGTCATATTTAATAATATATATATATATATATATATATATATATATATATATATATATATATATATATATATATATATATATATATATATATATATATATATATATATATGCAATTGACGATCACGAAATACTGATCATTTGTATGCGGAAAAGTCCACAGAGAAATGGAAAAGAAAGATGAGCGTTTCAGCCGATGAAGGCCGTTGTCAACACGAGGACATTACAATACACATTATAAACACATTACACACAATGTGTGTAAATGCACATTGTAATGTGTTTTTCTGCGCTAATGGAGACTGTGTAGGATCCTGTCTGTTCACACACGTCCTTGAGTCACTAGCAACTGAGACAATCTAAGGAATATTAACATTGTAAGGACAGCGACCAACTGTTGCATGCAATATAACAATGGGTTGTATTGTGGAGACAAACTCCATTCACAGCGTTAAATATAACTATGTTAGAGCCGAGTACGCTGTGAACACTACACACACACCAGCCGTTTACAGGGTGAGAGGCGGGCACAAGAGCTCCGCTCAGCCCCAGCAAGCACGACTAGTTGAGTACAAGTAGGTAGGAACACTGGAAGGCTGCACTATGGTGAGTGCCAGAGTGACACACGGGACCTCACCCGCTGGACTATGGTGAGTGCTAGAGTGACACAAGGGACCTCACCCCCTGGACTATGGTGAGTGCCAGAGTGACACACGGGACCTCACCCCCTGGACTATGGTGAGTGCTAGAGTGACACAAGGGACCTCACCCGTTGGACTATGGTGAGTGCCAGAGTGACACACGGGACCTCACCCGCAGGACTATGGTGAGTGCCAGAGTGACACACGGGACCTCACCCGCTGGACTATGGTGAGTGCCAGAGTGACACACGGGACCTCACCCGTTGGACTATGGTGAGTGCCAGAGTGACACACGGGACCTCACCCGTTGGACTATGGTGAGTGCCAGAGTGACACACGGGACCTCACCCGCTGGACTATGGTGAGTGCCAGAGTGACACACGGGACCTCACCCGTTGGACTATGGTGAGTGCCAGAGTAACACACGGGACCTCACCCGTTGGACTATGGTGAGTGCCAGAGTGACACACGGGACCTCACCCGCAGGACTATGGTGAGTGCCAGAGTGACACACGGGACCTCACCCGCTGGACTATGGTGAGTGCCAGAGTGACACACGGGACCTCACCCGCAGGACTATGGTGAGTGCCAGAGTGACACACGGGACCTCACCCGCTGGACTATGGTGAGTGCCAGAGTGACACACGGGACCTCACCTGCTGGACTGTGGTGAGTGCCAGAGTGACACAAGGGACCTCACCTGCTGGACTGTGGTGAGTGCCAGAGTGACACAAGGGACCTCACCTGCTGGACTATGGTGAGTGCCAGAGTGACACAAGGGACCTCACCTGCTGGACTATGGTGAGTGCCAGAGTGACACACGGGACCTCACCTGCTGGACTGTGGTGAGTGCCAGAGTGACACACGGGATCTCACCTGCTGGACTATGGTGAGTGCCAGAGTGACACAAGGGACCTCACCCGCGAGGCATCACCCGTAATATCAAGAACATTTTCTGACTTATACTTCTGTTTTTCCATTCATAAGGCGGGAAATCTTGTGTTGTTTATGGTTGCGTTCGCTCGTGTGACGGCAGCACAGGACTGAGGGACTGCTCAGTGGTGGGGCACAGAATTCGTAATTATTTGAATAATTACGTGTGAGCGGCGCGCCATAAGAGGATTGCCCCGGGATGAAAGCAAAACTTATGTGTGAACGAGTTGATGAAAAGCCAGCAGCCACTTACCTTGGCAGGGAGAGCCGCCTCATACACCACTCCAACACCTTGCCATCACATTCACTCCACATTCACCACGGAGGATATTTAATTTATTATTCATGAGGCATAACAAGGCTAGAGAGAGATTCAGAGTGGCGGTAGCAGCGTCCAGGGCACGCGAACCATCCCTGCTAAATCCGGCTAAGATCACTGCTGTCTTTGATGGTATTTAGTTGTAAGAGCTGTGAGTGTGGCGGCACTCGGGAGAGCCAGAGCTTGGCGGTGGAGGCGACGCTGCAGGTGCAGGAGAGGGTAAACTGGTGCTGCTGCTGCTTCCCTTTGAGGGCCGGATCAGGCATGTATGACTATGTGGGGAGCAGCGCCCCAAATGGAAGCCTCGAGTGAGGAGACAAACCAACTGGAAACTGTGAACGAGACCACTATGGTGAACCCTTGAGGCAGCGCCGGTTTAGCTGGGATAAAGTGTTCCCGCTTGTCAACGACGTTGTCAGTGTACGTGTTGCTGGGGCGACCCAAGCCACACTGTCACGCCGCCACCACCACCACCACCC